ACCAACTCCCGGCAACTTATGATTTATTCATATTTTTTTATCTACAGTCGGCTATGCCAAGAAGACGCAAAGGAGCCAACTCTAGTCGTCGAACAAACAAATCAAGAAACATGCAAGATGGAAGATCACAAAGATCTGGCAAACAAATCCACCAAGAAAATGAAAATGTTCGTGTGAGCATGGCGCAGTTACGTTAATCACAATCACGAGAGGCATAAAGTGTAAGAAATTAACGAAGAGAACATAGTCAACAGACATAGATGCCTGATGTTAAATATTGTGCTCATTCCAAAGTGTTAATTAGTACTTTGAACAACGAATGCATTTTCGGTTTCTTAACTTTTAAAATGGGGTGTGTTGCTCATCAGGAAAAGTATAAATAATAGAAATGAAACACCACTTGAATTGAACGGCGTACTTATCGGTACAGATCCAGCTTCTAGTCTGTTCCTAAAGTCAATTCGTGCATTCAATTCATATTTCCAAATGATATCGTTCGGAGCAATAGAAATTGTTCAAAATATTGCTGCGAGCCGTCATCAATTTAATTCTACTTTCAAAATCAAAGGTTAAGTTTGTCACAAAGTGGGTTCATTGCTGCCAATGCCAAACGAATCTCATACATTTTTAGAAATCTATTTAATGGGTGGCGAGGATTTCGAATGCGCACTCGCCAATCGGCGAGCTGGACGCTCTGTTAAATGAGCACCATGATTTGTTTAAATTATTGACATCGCAAATCCCCAAGCCACAAAGTGGCAATCACGCTATTGTAATTAATCCAGATAGAAGACCAGCTGGAGAGCATATATGTATGTAGGTTCAACGCACCTGTTGTTGGAGTCGTGGTTGGAGGCCGTAGTGTTACGCGGCAAATCGTGATTCGAGGGAGAGATAATAAGCCTAAGTTAATTGCTGATATCCACCATTCATATGACGCTCTTCAATATCCGCTAATTTTCTGGAAGGGACAAAACGGTTAATGCATAAACATTAAACAACGGGATCCCGTAACAGGTAATTCATTCATTATTTGGAAAATAATAAATTTATTATTAAAGAATAAATTGTCAATTAATTGAAATATATATCATTACAGGTCCGAAATAAACAAGAACATTAGCTCGAAAGATTATTATGCGTATCGTTTGATGATTAGACGCGGTCAAGACAACATCATTTTACGATGTCGTGAGCTTTGTCAACAATTCATGGTGGACACGCATGTGAAGATAGAGAGTGAACGACAACGATACTTTCGACGTAACCAACAGAAGCTGCGTGCGGAAAAATACATTCATCTGCGAGATACTATTGCGAACAACGCTAATACTGCCCAAATGGGTAACTCTGTCATTCTACCTACCGCGTCTCATGCAGGAATATATACAGGATGCTATGACTTTTGTATGTGAATATGGACGACCTGTTTTTTTATTACTTTTACATGTAATTCAAAATTATCTGAAATTACGTCATTGCTATTACCAGGACAAAATGCAACACATCGTAATGACATTATAGCACGTGTTTTTAACAAAAATTAATTTTTTTACTACATTACATTTATTACAAAATTACATGTGTTTGGTGGTACACGATGTTGGATGTATTCGGTTGAGCGGCAAAAGCGAAGATTAGCTCATGCTCACATTTTAATTTGGTTCATTGACAAAGTACATGCTGAAGACATTGATAGTTTAATTTCTGCAGAAATTCCAGACCCGTTTACTCATCAATTATTGTTTAATATTGTTACTACAAACATGCGGAGCTCTGAATCGTTCATCGCCTTGAATGGTAGACGGAAAGTTTACAAAGCGTTTCCCTAGTGATTTCACTCACGATACAGTCACACATGTTGACGGATATTCAATATATCGTCAAAGAAATACCGATAATGGCGGTCAGTCTATCATTAAAAATATCAATAATGCGGACATTAACATTGACAATCAATGGGTGGTATCATATTCACCTCCACTGAGTAAAGCATTCAATGCGCATATTAATGTTGAGTTCGGTGAAGAGCATTAAATATATATCAAGTATGTGAATAAAGGAAATGATATGGCTGTATATAGAATTGAAAATTCTAATGCAAATGCTCCTCAAATAAATGAAAATTATGAAATAACAAATTACAAAATTAGCTGGTATATTAGCTAAAATGAAGTTGCCTGGCGTATCTTCTGCTTCCCAATTCATGAACTGTTATCCATTTAGCTGTGCATCTCGAATACAGCCAATATGTATTTTTTACGATCGAAACAGCTCCAACCAAAAACCTTATAAATAAGTAATGTAAAGGGACATCAATATCCAACCTACCAATATGCATGCCTTGCACTAGGCTTGAAGATGAAAATCATTGGGAGCTTGCTGAAGTAGCATTAAACTGCACAAGAACCCCAATTTGTTTATCATTTGCTATAGTACTAACGACAAGTTCCCCAACCCGATCGCAAATGTTGTAGAATAATCACAAAGATTCGATGAGTGATGATATATTGTAGCGACATCGTACAAGGTGCAACGATCTAGCGATGTCATTCAGTGACGCAATGTACAATGAAGCATTGAATACTACAAGTATTGAAGATCATTGAATTGTCATTGCAAATATACCAATCAGTCATTTCGGTGTAAGTTAAGCAAATCGAAATGCATCTGATTTAAACAACATAGATATAAATCGTGAACTACAGTATATACATATATACTGCCGAATTGGCAGCGACTTTTTTTGGACGCACCAGGTGGAACTGGCAAATCATTTCTTATTTCGTTATTTTTGCTGAGATACAACCAAAAAATGGCATCGCATTGGCCGTTGCATCATCTGGCATTGCAGCAACTTTATTAGATGGTAGTAGATTTACAAACATTCGCTTGAGGCGTTGGATAGGATATTGCCTAATTTAAAAAACAACGGCAAACTGTTTGGCGACACTCTGTTACTCCTTTCAGGTGATTTCAGACGGACACTTCCCGTTATTCCACGTTCAACATACGATGATGAAATCGCTTGCTAAAATCATTGTGGCTGCGGCATAATGTTAAAAAAGTAAAACTGAGCGCGTTCATATGCTCCAAGATCCCTCTGCCGAAACTTTCTCAAAACAACTTTTAGATATTGGCAATGGAAAAGTGTCTATACGTGGAAAGACTAGAGCATAAAATTACCGATGGATTTCTGCACAGTCATCAACTCACAAAAATCTCTCATCGACCATATATTATATTTCCCGATGTACATATAAAGTATAAAAATTTTGAGTGGTAAAAAAATAAAAAAGTAATATTTGGGGTGGACCACCCTTAACATTTAGGGGTATGAAAAATAGATGTTGTCAGATTCTCAGGCCTACCCGATAAGCACACCAAATTTCACCAAAATCGGTCCAGCCGTTTCGGAGGAGTTTGGCAACAAACACCGTGACACCAGAATTTTATATATTAGATATACTTTATACGAACTCTGACGTTTCCTTCTGGGTGTTACAAACTTCGTGACAAACTTAATATACCCTGTTTATGGTATAAAAATAGAAAAAGTCATGCTGTTAAACCAAAAGAAAACTAACATATTCAAAATATTTAGCATTGCGTTGATATTCGGAACTAAAGAAAATAAGGTTGCAATAATTAAAAAAATAAGGTAAACAAGTAACGAATCTAATCCCAAATTTTATGGTTTCGTTAACTCTAAGCGGAATATTTCTAATTTCTCTATACGATTAAATGTAAATTCACCAACTATTTTGGAAGACGTCTTACTTCATTAACATAAGTTAAAATAATCTTGTCATTACGGTTCAAATATGATAAAGTTCGACTCTCGTGAGAAAACTTCTTGGGTATTTTCTTGTCTCAACAATAGAACACAATAATAACGTGTACTAAAAAATTGTATTATGTGCCAAAGATGCACATTTTTCGGGAGAAACACCTTTTTTTTGCAGCGATTTATTAATAACTTTAGCTAAATTTATGAGTATTCATTACAATTAAATTTAATTGTTTAATTAGGCTGACGAAAACGTACTACTGCAAAGTATCAATACAGTATGACTGCAGTATTTATATGTACATCATCGGTACGCAAGCTGTTTTGTTTTTCCAAGCGTGTAGAGATAAAAATAATAAAAATAAAACCAAATAGTTCAATTATAAATAATTTCTCCCCTTTTATTATATTCTTGCCATCATAAGAAGACTTTTCCCCCAATCTCAGAATTTAATGCAAATTTAGTATAAATTAATAAGAAGCTTATCAATTCGACTTCGCCATGGTTGCATATGAAAATGTCAAAAAGCATCAACTTTATTCGTGATGCGCGAATTTCTCTGTCACATTATACTTTGTTCACATAAACGTTTACGAAGTCAGCCTTAATTTTTCGAGCGTGGCTTAAACGAAATTTCTTTATTTCTGGCCTATAGAGCTATAGAGTCCCGCGAATTAGTCCCCAGTTTTTAAGCTATCGATCTTAATTTTGCACATGTCCCCTTCTCACTAAGAAGCTTCCCATTCGTCGGAAAGGCCAATATCGGCCCACTATAGCATAAAGCTGTCTTACAAACTTAACTATCGGAATCTAGTGCTTGTATGGGGAACTTTTTTATTTGACGTAATTTCTTCACAAATTTGAAGTATCTTCACGAAATTAGATCGGAATCAAGTTCTACTAAGGAATCTTTGTATTTGTGACGGATATTATAGTTCGGAGCAACCGAAGTTAACGTTTTTTCCTCAAATTTTTAGATTAATTTCATCTATTTGTTATTACAAGTTAGAATTGCACTTTCGAGGTTTTGCTATAAGGTAGTTGAAACCCTTATTCTTTAATAGTTTAACAGATGTTCTATAATTTTCCCAAATATACATACATATAATATATGTGTGTTCAGCATCTAATTATGATAAAAAATATGTACATATATACAAGAGCTTACGTTTAGAAATTTTAAATATATATCATTTTCATTTTCTACAGCTGATTTTAGCTTAATTGCAAATGGACTAGATTTGCAAGGACCGATATTTCTACACGAGCCACTGCATCGCATTGAATTTTCAAATAATACAGGCGGCTTAATAGAATGCTCTGGACATGGAAGCCCTCCACCAGAGGTAAGAATTGATTCAAGAATTCGTTTTTAGATGGCAATGAGTTCCTTGCAACAGGCCAAGTTGAATTATATGTATTTGAATGAATAAATAAATACATGTGATAAAAAAAAAACTCAGCCAAAGAGGCTAAATTAAATATCTTAGGTACATGAGAAAAAAAAATCAACTAACATAAATGGTTTAAAGCCAACTAGAAAGTCGGAAATCGTTAGATCGGGAATTGAGCTAGGGAAAGTATTTACCCAATTGAATCCATTATTGGCATTACGACATACCACTACTAGGAAAATATGCTCTATGTTTGAAAGTACATATGGAACCGATGTTTCCAATTTCTGACAACACGACATATTATTTACAGAAAACGGTGCTCTCTGACCTTCATTAAGAGAGCTCACTGATTGATCAGTTTCGAGAAAAAGTCAGCCATAGGCACTGAGCTTCACATCTGAGAACTTAAAAAGTTATACGGGGAGTGGGCGTGGTTATTATCTGAATTTATCATTTTCACAATGTATGAAGAGCTGTTAAAGGACTGGAAAACTGTTCTTCTCAGTTTGATTGATTTAGCTTACACGATTTGGAAGTTAGGTACATTAAACCATTTGGAGGGCGAGACCGTATTCTCGGCCTAAAAAATTTTTTCAGTGAATAGTCAATCCTTTTTTTTTTCAGTATGAATATTACTCTTGTAGTCCTCCATGATTCGGTGAGCCAGTACGATAATCCCTCCCTGTTGTAAAAGTGTTGGAAAGATGCCGTCCGCCCCCGGAGATTTGCCTTTCCTGAAGAAAGCCAGTGCCCACTTAATCGACTCAGCAATTAGAAAGTTCCTTGCAATTGCCCAATTCTTTTTACTTAGCTTTGTTAAAAAATTTACTAACCGATTTCCTAAGTTCGGAGAGTTTTCTGGACCACCAGTAACCACCTTTGGTGGTTGTGTTTATCGAACAGCTGCTGTGATACGCATCGATAATACACTACTTTGTCGCAGAAAAACCTGCTCTCCATCCCACGAATCGATCCCCAATTTCTACTTAGCGGATCCACCTTACACATATTTAGAATTTAATTATCCTTAAAAAAAACATCCCAGTTTGTTGTACTCGGGGATGCGTATCGGCGGATGGAACCCGTCATAAATGATTCCGAGATGGGACATTGAGGGCTCTGATAAGACCCTTCATTGAAATATCAGTTCAATTACAAGCTTATTACATATAGTGATGTCAAGGGCTTCCTGTTGAGTACTGGTCACGAACGTGGGTTCGCACTCTTCAACTACATTTCTATATTAATACTAATAATGAATTCAAAATGAGACTCACCGTTTATGTTGCAATCCGAGCTGCCTCATACTGTGTGCTGCGCGTTTTCAATACGGAGGGCACCAAGGATGTCTCTCCTGGGAAAAAGACCGCCACAAGGAAAGGAAGGTCCAATCTGCGATCAGGTCCTGCTTTAGAAACTCTGAAATGCAAAAGACATCAAAATTATTGCTTAACTTTAAAAGCTCTGTGTCTCTCGCTAGAAAGACTAAATTGTTGTTTTTCGTCTTAAGTTCTCTGACCTCTCCTCCGTACACACGCGGTTATTAAATAGGATGTTCAGGTTATTCTATAGGAACCGATTGCCGAAGTCGGAGCGCCCCAATATGTGAACACGCAACCTCTCCACGAGCTCTTGCTCTTCTCCCTTCAACAGCAACCTGTTTACCTGTAATATTGCAGGCGCGAATATTGCAGGTCCGCTTAGGTAAGTAGAGGCATTCAAAACAAGAACATAGTTTTTTCCAAAACTTTTTCTTTAAGTGCCTTAACCGAAATTGTTTAAATATATAATGTTTTATAGAACAAAAACCCCGTATTTATGAATAACATTATAAAACGTATTTATGTTTTTAGGTGGAATGGACTCCAATACCTCCCCAACAGGACATGGTCTTTACGCTCTCCAATGGTAGCCTCATGTTTTATCCTTTTTCAGCAGAAAAGTACAGGCATGAAGTACATGCTACAGTTTACAGGTAAGTACTAGTACTTTGCACAGTGTGGAATATGTTGGTTCACCTAGGACTAAGTTTGTTTATGAACTACTTACTATCTAGCTTATTGCTATTAGGAAGAGAAGGTGTGTGAAAATTGGGATGGTACCCGCACAAAAAAACCAAAAAGTAAAGATATAAATAGAAAAGAACAAAAAGTAAAGAAAAGGAATATTCGGTAAAATAATTTGTGTAACAAAATTAAAATTAATATAATATGTTACATGTACGTATACATTGACTTCTACTTAAAATTGTTTAAATTGAAGCAAACGGAATTTATGTTAGTATACATTAAACTGAAAATCACGGAAACGGGAAACTAATGCAAAAAAATTAACAGCAGTAGTTGTAGCAATCTGAAGAATTAAAAATAAGGTTTGAATATTAAGCCAAATTATTTTCCGTTATGAAATTCAATACGCTATTAGATTGGTATATTAGCGGAAAGCAAGGGCAAATAAGGCACCCCATTTCAAACGATGCAAAAACAGAATATTGAGTAATATGACCCATCACTCTATTAGTCGAATAATGCAACTGCTGTGGACATGTAGATGGATTTGGTAACTAAATACGCAGGACCATCATCTGAAGTTGAACACAGCTACCAATAAGGACACTCATATTGTGGTGAGGTAACATGTAAAGGGGAATGTGGTACTGCGCCGGAAATTAATATTAATGAGTTGTGATTTGACTCTGTGACATATTTACTTAAGTGTAATATTACAATAATTACAAAGGTTATGCATTTCTTCATATTCAAACTGTACCCAACATAATGTTATATACCGATATTGGTTCAAATTGGTTAAGTATGTAGTTGCTGAGGTACGCGATATCCCCAAAAATATACGGTGTTACACGCAAACTTGCTATACTACCTTTACAATTGAATTTAATGCTTTTGACGCTTTTCGTCAGAGAGTTATCAATATTTTACTCGTACTAGTTTTTGATATACATACATAAGAGCCATCTATACAACTCTATGATACAAAGTGTAACACATAGTCATAGGTTAACAACAAATGCTTTAAATAAGTGTCTCCATTAAGTTTGGTTAATATAGGTTTAGTAGTTAATGAGATAAGTATGTATCTTATATATTCTGAATACGGGGCCACGACCACTTTCTACGAATTTTGAAACCACAGTTGGCCCTCTCTACTGTGATCTCCTTACAAATTGAATTTGTATATACATATTAACCTGCGACTGTGTTGTAGCTATTTATATTTTTATACTCTTGTGACGTGTTACTACAGAACAAATCGTTTGACCCTTTATGACAGTGTGAAAATGGGTGAATTCGAATTATAACGCCACCCATTTACAATATAACGGTTTTGTTAAAAACTACTAAAAGTGCGATAAATCTATAAATAAATACGATACCGACATAATATTTTACAATCAAGGTTGTACAAGACGGCTTTATAGAATTCGGTGTCAAATTCGGACGATGAGCGTGGCCCCGCACACTTATAGGTAAAAATCCATATCTCGGGACTTCCCCGACCGATTTCAACCAAATTTGGTAGATAATATTTGGTGTAGTAATTTATATTTTATAATTTTTAAGTAAAATTGTCAACTTAATTGGAAGAATAAACAAAGAATTTACATTTCATAAACTAATTCTCCTTACTTTTTGATTAGAGTAGTATAAGCGGATTTAAGTCAGATAAAAAGGCAATCAGTCATTGTTTGTCAAGGAGAAACAAGCATTAGCATATATATGCATATGTATTTATGAATTTACATATGTATGTTGTGCATATCATACTTCTGTTCATATGAATAAAAGTTTATTAAAGTAAGGATAAAATTCTATCAAAGTAAGTATGCAATATGAGAGATGGTTTATAGTAATAAATCAAAATAAAAAATTATGATTGAAGCATTAAAGAATTCAAACGTAAATGTTTGTGATCTCATTCAGTTTGATCCCTTAGCGTTATTACTTATGCCACCTTGAAGATGGGAACGCTGGAGCTTTAGTTATTGTATTATTGTGAATCTTTAGTATTCAGATATTACATGTCTAGGATTAGAATAAACTCACAATTGTTCAAACCAACTGGGAGCGGTTGCGTTGTAATCGTTACAACGTTCTCTGTCCCAATTGCGTTGCTATAATTTCTTTAACGCGACAAAAAAGATTTAAGTTCTAAAAATCAATACATAAAATGTTTTTATTTTAATTTTTGACAGTAACTAATATGAGCCATTCACAATGGTAAACCTGGCCTAACAAGTGTTTAATAAAACTTGGTAGCATTAGTTAGCATACTCTCTTATACCAATTGAATTCGATAACTTTTTTGTCACTTTTGTATATAAATGTGCAGCACGCAAAGATAGACGGCTTTTACACACAGACTCTTTTGTAACCCAAACCGGTTTATTGTGGCGAGGGGACGACGAGGAAAGACGAAGGGACCGTGCCACTCGTGGCACGCTTTGTGTTCTTGTTCGTAACAGCTCGCTGCTACCCTTTTCATCATTCCTTTTCACTTTCAAATTCTTTGAACGGTTGCAAGAGCGCTCGGTTCGAATTTGAATTCTGTTATCTTTGTTTTGTATGTAATATGCAAATATGTATGCATAGAATAATAGAAATATTTTGAAAAATTGTAAATAAGGAGAAAATTAAGATATAGATTATGGAGTAAAGAATATGATGAATTTTTAATACGGAGTAAAGAAATTATGAATTTTTAATACTTAAAGATTAGGAAATTCCTGTTATAAATTTGGCCTTGAAAATATTAGTAGCGGATATTCAATACATTCTGGTGGATAAGGGAATTCCCGTCTTAATTATTTCTTTGAAACTATTAAGCGGGTAGGTATTATGCATATTGTTCTACCATATTCATGGTAATTCATTGCAAGCAAAATGTGTGACCATCATCTCAACATACAAATGAAATATGCAACACGCTCTAAGTGTTGCGCAGTCGAACCGCACAAATATTTACGAAAATTTTGTGAAAAGTAATGCAGAAAAACTAGAATCGAGTTGCTGGACTCTTTTTGCTCGTGTGAATGCACAGAGCGACACCAAAAGAGAATTTGCCGAAAACGAGGGTCAAAAGAGTCTGTGCGTAAAAGCCGTCGTAGCGAGCAGAGAAATGGAGAATCGAAGAAAGCTATTGTTAACATGACATTTACAAATGTGTTGAAAATTGAATTATATTATTGTACTATACATTTTGGGACTTTGCTTAAAGGAATATTTGCGAAAATAAAATATGAAGTTTTTTTTTTTTATATCAGGGATGTTTTTGAAGAAAATCTAAATAGACATGCGCATGGAAAATTCATGTAGTAACACTCTTTAATTCTAATTAATCTTTTGTTTCCAGTTCTTATTCGCCTAGTGGTGTATTTTGTCCTTAAGTTTCCTCTCCTTAAAACTACAGTTAGTACTGAAAAAATTGATTTGACGTCTATACCTTTTCGTTTCATTAACATTCCCTGGTTAGACTCCGTGCATTGTGTTGCGAGAGTAAGTCACATCTTATGTGTAATTTAGCAATCATTCTTATGTACATGTTTATGAATATCTTTATTTATATCTTGGTTGCTTTTATAACATCATAATATTGACACGTCCGAGTTTATTCCTATTGATTTAGTTTAAAAAATTCTTTAAAACGTTACATTTTATTATATTCTATCACTTTCACCATTAGAGTTTAAGTGCTAGTCAAATAAGATTCTAACTAAGTTTCTTTTATTTTACTTATATTAGATGTAAATTACGAAATCTTGTCGGCACGATACTGAGCAGGGAGGTGCATGTGCGTGGAGGTAAATTTACTTTAACATAAATATAGAAATGTATATGGGCAATTATTTTCTTTCCTTTCAATTATGTAATAATTTACGCTTTTTGCTTTTTTATTTCTCAAAGTTGTCAACCAAAAATATACAGTGCAAGTTCATGATGAATATGTGATGACTGGCAACACGGCTGTATTAAAGTGCCAGGTGAGTAAAATAAAACTAACTGGACGTAACATAGTGCAGTAATACAACAATAAGTGCAGTTCTTAAATTTTGGCGAATTAATTTTAAGTCTCATCTTTTACTGTCTATATCTTTTCGTGAGCTTGTTGTTGAAGTTGTGACTTTGTGTCCTAAGTGCTTACTTCCTTTTTGAACAGGGAAAACTTCATCGGTCTCCGCTTTAGACCCGTGCTAATCTCTTTCTGCTAAAGTTACTTGTATCCCCCTTCTTTTGTGAGATGGAAATTGGAGATCATTTGCTTGCGGGACCCAGCCCGTGCGCTTTTTCTGATTTATGTGCATAAGCCAAGTGAGCTAATCTTCTTAGCAAATTCCTGTTTTGAGTTCGATTCGCCGGATTCTTGACCCATGAGCATTTTGCTCACGTGCTAAAAATATTCAGTTATTTTTATATAGATAAAGTGTTATATGTTTAAATTTGAACTAATTACCATTACTGAGTCTTATACTTTAAAAATGTTTATTATTTGGCAGAAATAAAAGTAAAATACAAAGGTAATTCAGTTGTATAAAACATATGAAAAAATTTCACATTTGTTATAGAGATCATACAAAAAATTATTATAATAATAATAATTAATAATAATTAATAATAAAAAGTATATAAATGTCTATATATCATTCTTCTGAGAAATCTTCATTAATTTTTTTGTTGCAACAAGTAGGACATGTATGCTTTGAATGTTCAGTACAGAGTAATTTCCCACATACATACATAAATCGCATTTTTTTGTGCGTCTATTTTTCCTGCTGGGGCTGAAATCACAAAAGCCGTTTTCTTTAGGCTGGTTTGGTGAATCAAAACCTGGTGCACTGCATTCCATTGAATCGCTTATACTTGTATGTTTTGGTAAAGTTTGAATGGATTGCATTTTTACAATATGTGGCTTTATCATGTCAATGGCCACTTCTTTCTAGAAAGCCCTCCTCTGTGTTAAGTTCTGCGTATTTCCCTTAAAAATAATCTGCGCATTTATACCAACTATGGCAAGCAGAGTAAAAAATAGCCTCACTGGCCATCTGCAAGTTTTACGAGAAAGTGTTTACGTTCTTTTCATCAAGTCGACTGTATCTATGTACACCTTCATTTGTTCTGTTGTAAAACATTATTACTTCGGGTTTGGTGGAAGATATGAAAGTATAAATTTGTTCCGGTATTAAAAATTGTTTCAGCGATCCTCGTTACGATATTGGCAGTTGTATTATCGAGCTGATAAGGGCCGGGTGGCTGTTTCCTAGAACGTCGACTAATGCATTAATTTTTATACTCTCGCAACCTGTTGCTACAGAGTATAATAGTTTTGTTCACCTAACGGTTGTTTGTATCACCTAAAACTAATCGAGGTTATATATATATAAATGACCAGGATGAAGAGACGAGTTGAAATCCGGGTGACTGTCTGTCCGTCCGTCCGTGCAAGCTCTAACTTGAGTAAAAATTGAGATATCTTTATGAAACTTGGTAGACATGTTTCTTGGTACCGTGAGACGGTTGGTATTGCAGATGGGCGTAATCGGACTACTGCCACGCCCACAAAACGCCATTAATCAAAAACAAATAACTTGCCATAACTAAGCTCCGCAATAAGATACAAGACTGTTATTTGGTACACAGGATCACATTAGGGAGGGCATCTGCAGTTAGAACTTTTTAAAAGTGGGCGTGGTCCCGCCTCTAATAGGTTTAATGTGCATATCTCCTAAACCGCTAATGCTATAATAACAAAATTCACTAGAGCAAATGTTTTAGCACTTCTATTGACGGTGTGAAAATAGTTGAAATCGAGTGGCAACTCCGCCCACTCCCATATAACGGTACTGTTAAAAACTACTAAAAGCGCGATAAATCAAACACTAAACACGCCAGAGACATTAAATTTTATCTCTGAGATGGTATAAATTGGCTTTATAGGCGTGGCACAGCCCACTTCTAGGTGAAAACCCATATCTTGAGATCTGCTCAACCGATTTCAACCAAATTCGGTGCATAACGTTCTTTTCCTGTTTCTATGTCATAGTGCGAAAATGGGCGAAATCGGACTACAACCACGCTTACTTCCCATGTAACACCATTTTCTATTCCATCTGATTCTTTCACTTTCCACTATGCAAATCAGGTAACAATGACTGTATCGGATAAAACTTTGCGTGAATAAAGCGATTAAAGTATGCCACCTTGTGGCCAAAAATTGTCTGAATCGAACCAAACTGTTCAAGCCCCAAGTACTAAATATGTGGACCCCAGTGCCTATAGTTGACCTTCTACCGAAAATATCGGTCAATCCACAAAGAAATCTCAAACGAGTATACCATTTGACTTTGCAGAGTATAAATGTTCGGTTACATCCGAACTTAGCCCTTCCTTACTTGTTATATATATATTCTAAATTTGCATTGCCCTATAAACGATTCAAGCATTAATAATACAATATTCTCCTGGAGTATAACATTCACCACTGAAATTGTTGAAGTGGCAATTTCACGAAAAACGGCGTAATTTGTGACAAAAAAATGTTTGCCCAAAATAGTCAACTTTAACCGTTAATATCTTTAAAACGGTTTGGTTTACAAAAACCGAGAGATCATTTTGTAGAGCATTAAATTTAAAATCATATCATTAAAATCCTCAAACGAAATACAAGTATGTTTTCAAATAGTTGGAAGCGGGATAGGAATAAGAAAAATAGATAACGGTAAAGAGGAGGACTTCCCTGTTACAATTAAGAGCTGATACTTGGAGAGCCTTCTGAGAGGTGTCTACCAACCAATTTTTCGCAGTACGAAGCGAAAGAAAACAATCGTTTTTGACCACGGTCATATACATATGTATGTACATACCTTTTTCCAAATATACCTTCTTAAATTGCGCATACAGCCTAGTATCATTGCTAGGTGCATAAAATAAAAATGCATCCATTATTTCCATTAAATGGAAAATATTTAAAAGAAGACGACCTTTATAACAAAGTACGACATTAAAATGTTTTTATAAATATAATATTAAACGAAGTTTATGTCACAAACAGCTGTTTTATAAATCTCCAACGGCAGACAGTCTAGATTAGTGAATAGAATCACCTCATTTTGGTCAGAACTGTGTGCTGCCACTCCGGCAGCACTTATATACTTGTAGTAGATCGTTATCAACAAATTCCACTGAAGCATTCTGGCTAGTTATCATCGATTCTGTTTAATTTTGCAGTAGGTTCGCCACAATATTTAGAGGATCCATTCTTTATATATATAATATAAATCTTCTATACGTGTGTTTGTAATTAAACTCCTTCTAAACGGCTAGACCGATTCTGATGCAATTCTTTGTGTGTATTCAAAGGGGTTTGAGATGGTTTAGATTCACAATTCGATCATCTAGATAATGTTTTAACAATGAATTTTTGCAAACAAGTAAGGAAAGGCTAAGTTCGGATGTAACCGAACATTTTATACTCGCAAAGTCGAATGGTATACTCGTTTGAGATTTCTTTGTGATTGGCTGCTATTTTCGGTAGAAGGTCAACTATAGCACTGGGTCCACATATTTAGTACTTAGGGCTTGAACAGTTTTGGTTCGATTTAGACAATTTTGGTCACAAGTGGCATACATTAAATGTATTATTCACGCAAAGTTTTACCCGATTTAATCATTGTTGCTTGATATGCATAGTGGAAAGTGAAGAATCAGATGAATTGAAAATGGTGTTATATGGGAAATAGGCGTGGTTGTAGTCCGATTTAGCGCAATATAACATAGAAATATGAAGAGAACGTTATGCACCGAATTTGGTTGAAATCGGTTAAGCAGATCCCAAGATATGGGTTTTCACCTAAAAGTGGGCTGTGCCACGCCCACTGTATAATTTTGAACGCGGTTCCTATAAAGTCATCATATCCATTCCAGAGATAAAATTTAATGTCTCTGGCGTGTTTAGTGCTTGATTTATCGCGATTTTAGTAGTTTTTAACAGTACCGTTATATGGGGAGTGGGCGGAGTTGCCACCCGATTTCAACGATTTTCACACTGTAGGTAGAGGTTCTAAAAACATTTGCTTCCAGTGAATTTTGTTATTATGCATTAGCGGTTTAGGATTAACCTATTAGAGCGGGACCATGACCACTTTTAAAAATTTTTTTAACTGCAGATGCCCTCCCTAATGTGATCCTGTGTACCAAATAAACAGTCTTGTATCTTATTGCGGAGCTTAGTTATGGCAATTTATTTGTTTTGATTAATGGCGTTTTGTGGCGTGGCAGTAGTCCGATTACGCCCATCTGCAATACCAACCGTCTCACGGTACCAAGAAACATGTCTACCAAGTTTCATAAAGATATCTCAATTTTTACTCAAGTTACAGCTTGCACGGACAGACAGACGGACGGACAGACAGTCACCCGGATTTCAACTCGTCTCTTCATCCTGATCATTTATATATATAACCCTATATCTAACTCCATTAGTTTTAGGTGATACAAACATATCCTGATCATTTATATATACATTACCCTATATCTAACTCGATTAGTTTTAGGTGATACAAACAACCGTTATACTCTGTAGCAACAAGTTGCGAGGTATAAAAAGGATTAAATATATTTTCTTTTGTATTTATTAAAGCAAAGTATCTACATTATATTTAAAAAATTTATAAACGTTTGTGCAAAAACTCATAAAAAGTTGAGGCATGCATACATGGTACTTAACATAGATATTTTATCTATAGTGGTTACCTTGGCTACACGTAAAGAAACGTCACAAATTGTACTGAACTTTTAGCATTGTTTACTTCCGTAACACCTTGTTTGGTTATCTTAACATTGTTTGGTAACCAAACAAATTATTAACATGGCTTACCTATGTTAAGGTATCCAAATAATATGTTAAATTATCAGATGATGACATGTTCTAACCAAACAAAAGATTTTAAGTTAATATGAAGAAATCTTCTATTTTCAATTTTGTGATAAATGAACCAGAAGAAACAATTTATAATAAAATTCCATTAAATAAAGTATATATACTTGTACATATTCAACAAAGAAATATACAATATTGGTCAGTTATGATTAAATTATGCATTATCGTAGTCAGCATCATATTATTTACAATATGATATAATATATAACATCTAGATAATGTAATTTACTAACTTGTATTCAGTAAGCTGTCATTCCCTCACACAAGGTCAAAGGACGATATATTTACGTACAAGTCGTACGGCCGTACTTCAGACTGATCCTCCGAGATGAACGTCCTCTACGTATAAATAGCAGTGTGGACCGTTATCGTCCCCAAGGTGGTGTGCTCCAAACGTGCAGCACATTCTTTGTCTTCTCGGCGTCCCGCGCTGTACCACCAGTAGGGAATACCGCTGAGAGTTCTTGGTTTCTTGGAGAATTAATGTTTCTTTAGACGCCGCAAACCCAGTGGTCCATAATTTGACAACACACCAGCAAATGGAAAGTGTTACTGTATCTAAAACACTTAAAAATACACAAAGTAAATGAATAAATGGTTAATTTAAGCATTGCACATTGAATGTAATATCTTTCGCATAATAGCCCACCAAACACTGCAACAGTAGTGCGGCGTTCTCATTGGCCCTTTGAGGTTCTGGTGACCCACACAGCTAAACCTGTGAAAGAGTTGTATTATTAAATCAAAACGGGTGGGTAGTAATCGCCATTTCTTTGGTTATCACTATTTTTAAAACCAAAAGATAAACAAGAAAACAATAAAACGCTTTGTAATACACAGGTACATAAAGGCCCAATCAATTATGGTAGCGCTAAAAGTACTACTTTAACAAATAAATTAAACACCACAATTAAAAATTAACATTTGTACCATTTCGATTATATGCTAAAATTCAATTTGCGTACATTTTTCACTTATCGAGTTGATACACAAAACTCTTATCACCATATACATACTTGTTTTGCCCGCAACTTAACTACGATTTAAATTATTTGAATTCAACTGCAATCCAATCAACTGGCAATCCAAAAACCCAAAGAGATTAATAATATAATAGTATATAATATAAAATAATATTCTATTTTCCAAATTTTAACATAACCATAAATCACCTAAGGGGCGTCCATAAATTACGTGAGATGATTAAGGGGGGCGGGGGTCGAGTCAAATCTCATCTAATCTCCCGTTGAGGAGAGGGGCGTCTCGACAAATATCGCGCAATTTTTCTGATTGAACAAAAAAATTATACTACAAGTATTTTAGTCCATTTAATCCAAATTGTATGTACATGCTTAAGATTTAACCTTAAGCGTCACGTAATACAATTAAGATTATTTACTAATTCGTTCGAAAAAAATAATTTCATTCATACTTCGCCGTTATACATCTACTGAATTTCATACCACCATATTTATTTTTCACCGAATAGCTCAATTTAGTTTGAATTTACGGTACAGTATAGCCCGTTCTTTGTTTTCGCGCCCCTGTCAGGCGAACTTGCGACTCGACGAACGAGAGCGTACGAGCTGAGTGCAGCAACACACGGACAGGTTCTAACCTGTTTGTTTATTCTTTAATTGTTTTACTCGACTTAGTGCATGCTCTTATTATTTAAAAATGAGTTATCAAGATTTTTATAACGCATGTCAAAAGATACGTCTATAAGACGAAGAAGTCCTGCCAGGACGATGTGATAAAATTATGGAATACAGCGAAGGAAAAATTCCCGAAGAAAGAAGAGTTAACACATCACATTCAACATGAGATTGGACGGCTTCTCAGAGAAGCCATTGAGAGAAAAGTTCGGTCTACTTTAGCATTCCTTCAAAAGGTAAATATATTTTTTCAAGATAATATTTTTTTTATATAAACTTTATTGTTACAATTAATAGCATAAAAAACTAAAACGCTGAAATTCTTGATAAAATATTCTAAAATCATAACTATAAAACATTAGCGCTATTATTTTCTTTACTGTTTTCACATAATTCAATATTTTTTAATTTTGTGTTAATCTATCTTTTTAATTTATTAGATTCATTTCTTTACTCTGATGCTTTGATTTCAGACTAACACTAACATTTCCAACAGTTCTTTGATTCAGGCTGGGACAAGCACTACCTACCGATTCAACCGCTAAATGCCTTCATCAGCACGCCTTATGAACTCTATTGCCCAAGTATACATGATGATTTAGATGCTGGAGTACATGCGGTATTTATTTTGCACTATCACAAGAGCTGCAGAGCACAGGCGAGCCGCACATTGCACCAGCTAAACAAGCTCCGCAAACTGCGACCATCACGGATTGTCACAAGGCCAGCTAATGAGCATTGTATAAGCCTACTATAGGTAGATTTATACAATACTAATGAGTTACTGTGCGCACGCGCCAACGGCTTGGAGTGGTTAGATCAGAACGAATGATTTTACTGAAAATCATATGAACATGTTGGTTCCAATAGTCTCTCTTGAGACAGCGCATAATTCTCCATGGACTGAATTAGAGTATTCTTTTTTTTACTCACAGTAGTCATGATTTAAGTATTCTATTGTTAAATTTTAATTACATTTATAACTCTCAGCAATATTGATTATTAGTCGTAAATAAAAGGACGATGCAAGTTGTTTTTTTCTTTTTACAATAACAATCCAACGCGTTTACGTAAGAAACCCACATTCTGAAAAATCTCACGTGAGATTGGGGATGGGGGAGGGGGTTGAATAAAATCGTACGACATCGCACCAAGGGGGGAGGACATAAAATTAAAAAAAAAACACCTCACTTAATTTATGTACATATAAGCTCTTTGTAAAATTATTACGATTTATATCACAATGGTCTTCGTTTGTTGGATTCCTGTTTTGAAAAGAGTTTAATTCTATAAACATTTATGAATATTAACAATTTGATAATATGAAAAATTTACATTTTACCTGACGCTCTTCAACTTTTTCTTCAAATGGCAGATTCAATGGCGGCAATTTTTGACACATGCATTGTCAATGTATGTATCTCTTTCTTACACATTCAAAAAAAACGTATGATGAATGTTGCTATTCTTACAACATAATTTTTCATTTAACAACAAAGAGTTAGATGTGGTTATATAGAAAATGCTGATGGGTTCCCCAATACACTCACATTTACTATGTCAGTACTGACGGACAGTTTACTTGTCAACTGCCTGTTATTGTTAAACAGCGGAGCTATTGAGAGGAGGAGATGGCATCAAGTGAAAATTTCTTTTCATATTTTATTATTTAATTATATTTTTTGTTGCAATACTCTTTATATTTATGTATATTATTATAAATAATTTTGATTCAAAGTTTAAAATTTATTAAAGAAATAAGAATTATATTATCTACTGCGTAAAAGAATTTTTCACTTGTGATATTTGTAGTCATGACTGAGAAATTGCAGCTATGATAGTGTTTCAGTCATCACTGACTATTTTCAGCTATGATGGCTTAATAGTGAGCAATGACTCAGAAAAAAACATGAGAGTGAGCAATATAGATATATAGTGAATAAATTCCGAATACCCATGGGTTAAAGAGAGACGCAATCTTACACACATGCTTTTGTTTGCATCAGTTTGTGCACCAGGCTCTTAAGGAAATGATAGAAACTTTGTTCTGCGTGCTGACAAAATTTTTTCAGCTGTGACTGTCATATGACCAGTCAGATGACTCTCACTGTTCTTGTAGGGTTCCTTACAAGAAACTGCTGGTGGGTTCACCAATACACTCACAATTATTATGTCAGTATTGACGCTTAGCCTGCAACTGACCGTCACTGTTATCATTAAAAAGGGACACTTAGGATTTATATTGCTTACAAAAGCTTTACATATGTATGTAACAATGAAATAGCTGAATGCTTTAGTACTGTCACCACTGACAGTCAAATGAACAGTAAAATGACTGTCAGTGTTTACGATTTTTCCATAGAAGTTTTGAAATACCTATGTAGCTGTTACTCTGTGCGATAAACCAAAAGTGTTATGTGCTCCTGTGCAATAACTCTTTTTGTGTTAAAAAAATAAATATATAACGAAGGAGTTATAATATACGTAAGTTATTAGTAGGTTTCAAATAAAAATATATTTATATTTAATTTTCGTTTTTATTTAGGCATTTTTAAATTCCGAAATATCCATGAACTGGAGAAACATGTACAACAGAGCTAAAGAGAGGTGCAAGCATATTATTTAAATATATTTTTGTTGCACTCCTTTTTTATATTTATGCACTTGTATATTATTAAAACTAATTTTAATTATAAGTTTTGAATTTATTAAAGAATCAAAAATTGTATTATGTACTGCGCAAAAGAATTTTTCACTTGTGATATATTTACAGTCATAACTGACAATTTTCAGCAATGATGGATTTATGGTCAGCAATAATTCAGATAAAGACACCAGAGTGAGCAGTATAGATATATAGTGAATCAATTCGGAATACTCATGTGTTAACAAGAGATGTAAACTCACACACATACGTTTGTTTAGATCAGGTTTTGCACAAGGCTCTTAAGAAAATTATAGAAACTTTGTTCTGCGTGCTGACAAAATTTGTTCAGCTATAACTGTCACATTACTGGTCAGATGACTGTCACTGTTCTTGTAGGGTTCTGTCTTTCGTCATCTTTACCCCATTGAATTCAATAAAAATAATTTTTTATATAAATCCAATATACATGTTTTTAATTTACGTTCGCAACAAAATTAATTATTTGAAATTTTTTTTTAAAGTGCTCATTAGGTGGCTGGGGAAATGAGAAAACAGAGTTATTATATAATATTATATTATATATAAGCACAACATATAGTTCAAAAATTATTAATATTTCTTTAATCTTTCCAGGTGCCTAGCTACATGTCTGAGTTTGTTATGGTGACAGCTTGGGTTCAAGACACTGGCATGCATCTCTATCCTAATACAGATATAGGTGGAAAATATACAGTGCTATCAAATGGCGAACTTTATATAAATAACGCGGGGACAAATGACGCATTTAAGAGTTACACCTGTCGCACTGTGAATCGACTAACAGGTAAACATCATTATCTACGTACATAGGTGGTTTGATAAGTGAGGGAACTCATATTTTCAGCATATTATCAAGTAAAATTTTAAATGAATAATTCAAATACGAGTAGTTTTTGAGTTAAAGCTTGTAAAATGTAACCGCTAATTAGAAAGACCATTTTATATATTTTTTATTTCATAAGGTATCTCACATATTGGCCGATATACTCGATAAAAATCAACATAAAGGACATAAGTATTAGGGTGGAGTGGAATTTTTTTTTTTGCTTAGCCTGGGGGTAAAATCTGTAGATTATAAAAACAGAAAATTTTTGACCTCAGTTTTAAAGTAAATTTCGAGTTAAAATTTTTTTGGACAAAAAAACAAATAGTTTTGGGTTTAAACTTTTCCCGTTTATGTTAAATATACTAAATTTGACTCAAAATTTATTTAAACGCTTAAGGAAAGCATGTGGTCGTTTAAAACTTTTTTTAAAACTCAAATAATGACCACAAAAATTTTTTTAAGTTAATAACTTTTAACTTTTTTCTAGAACACTTATCAAAAGTTTTTTACGAAATAAATATTTTAACTCCAAAATTTACTTTAAAATCGAGTGCGACGCCCCTAGGTGTTAAAAAAATTATTATTGTTTTTTTGTCCAAAATTTTCTTTTTTTATAATCTACATATTTTACCCCCAGGCTAAGCAAAAAAAATAATTTTTTTTTCGCTCCACCCTAATAAGTATGTACATATATTCTCATAGACATACCCATTTATTGAAAAAAGTCGTGAACCGAGTTTTAACATGATGCGCTAAACTATGTATATTACGTTTAAGGAAATATACGGATTTAGCTTCAATAAGACATCTCACATATTAAGCAATATGCTATAAAGACAACCTGATTCTCCTTTGTCCTCTTATATAGGGATATTTTGATTATTAATGAGGCAATACTATTTTGGGAGTTGGTCTTTCTGACAGTTATTACTTGAATTACATACATATACTCGGTTTGGTTTGCCATTTCATAACGACTAACTCTAGAACAACGTTTGCAAATCGTGCAAATTTATTACTAAAGTAATGAATCGGTTCGCACCGCGTGCTGCGCGGTCGACATAATCGCCCAGCAGAGCCGATAATTCGAGCAACCATCGATCGGTTCCAACTCGTGCAAGAATAAAAGCCGAACGACCATCAAGCGCAACGCACGTTTGCTGAATGAGCCTAAAACGAAAAGACCACCGATCCCAACTCCCACAAGAAAATTTTTACTGAGCAATTAAGTTCACTTTTGGTTGAATGGGTACTTTAATATTTGATTGGATGATAATCCACAAGTCATTGTTAAGATGCCTTTGCATCCTCGGCGCGTTATTGCCGACATACGGTTCCAATTTCTACAAAAGGGGCGAAAATTGGACCGCTTGGCTTGAATGTATTCGATCAATTTAGCTGATCTATATTACCGGAAGATCTGCCAAAGGCTATATGTTTAAGTCAAAAAAATAATAAAAAAATTTTTTAATTCGTAATCTTAAAACTTATCCTTATATACTCGCTTATTTCACTAATACCTATTATATGTCAATTCAGGTGAAATTCAAATATCTACATATCCTGGACGAATCATTGTCACAGAACCAAAAGGTATGGTGCAACCGCGCATAAACGTCGAAAAGCACTCACTTCGACATGTTATGCTTAATGGACAAACAACGTTGCCTTGTATCGCTCAAGGTCATCCTGTGCCAACTTATCGGTATGTCTGTATTATTACATATGCAAGTACAATAACATAGTTAAGTATTAGGTAATGCAAAAAACTCACCTCAAACTTAGTGCAGCTTCATCAACTAACAGTTTCTTATAGCAGTTATTGAGTCACTGTTTTTATACAGGGTTGCTCACGAATCGTGCTAACAAAACAAACCGTAATAACTTCTTCTTTTTGTATCAATGCATTACATTTTTTGTTTGTTTATTGTGTAGCATATTTTATGTTATTTTATATAATTAATTATTTTTAAAAATTATGGACCGTAAATGACATCCAGCTCAGCAGAAAATTATTCATTGCTGACTGAAGGATTGAAGTCGGGATTGCCTCAATTATCGATTTAATGGACTGCTTCAATTCAGTCAGATTTCTACGTTTTGTTTCGCACTCCTCTTGCTTGACATAACCCCATAAAAAAAATTCTGGTACAGTTAGGTCAGGTGACTTTGGGCGCCAGCGGAAATGGAGTTTCTTGACATTATTCTGATTATGTGTGCAGTTGCTCGATATGGCTGGAACCAAACGCTATTGAAAGCGATACGTCTTCGGCGCAATTCTGGGTAAAAAAACTGAATCAACATCTTTAAATAACTGTGGCCATTGACAGTTACTGTTACACCGTTTTCTTCAAAGAAGTATAGCCCGACAATACACTTTGATAAAACTGTGCATCACACAGTGACTCGTTCTGGGTGAAGTTCCGTCTCGTGGATTATTTCTGGATTTGATTCACCCCATATCCGCAATTTTTCTTGTTTATATTTCCACTTAGATCAAAATGAAATCAAATCTGATGAGACTCAGACATATACAGGCAATTTATCAAGTTATTGTCTTCTTCGGCCATTTCAATCATTTTTTGGCAAAATTCTAAGCGAATAGACAAATCTAGAGGGTTTAACCGGCTTGTTATTTGAACTTTGTACGGAAACAGGTTTAATTCATCACAAATTATCCGTTGTAATGATTGTCTGCTAACTCCAAGTTGGGTCAATAAGTTGCGAGTCGAAACTCTTGGAATTGCCTCAGTTGACGATGCCGCTATTGTTTCTTGAACACGGACATACGGATTTCGATGGTACAGTCTTCCTCCAGATTCGGCAAACATGTTTACCATTCAAACTCGCACTCTCTTTTCAGTATACCAAGCATTAATTTTTTAAAAAACTTAAACAATAATCTGCCAAATAAAAAGAAAATACGTGTGGCACTCGAGTAATGCCGCGGTAAAGCTATTGCATAGCATTTTTTATCAAGGAATGCAATTTTAATTATTTATTAATTTTTTATGCAGTATTTTTTTATTTTTGATATTAATTTAAGTTACAATTTTTGAGCATGGTGACCAATAAGAAAAAAAATTGTTTTCTTTTGCTAAATAAATCAGAAGTTAATAATAATAGTCGGGTTGGTATTGAAGTTGGGCGTAATCGTACCACGCCCACGAAACGCCATTAAACGAAAACCTATAAAGTGTCGTAACTATGCACTAAATTAAGATACAAAACCGTAATTTGATGCAGGGAATCGCAGTGATGAGAGGCATTTGTAGGTTAACCAGTCTTAAAAAAGTCTTAAAGTCTTTTTAGCATTTCTTTATACACTGTGAAAATGAAAATCAGATAATAACCACGCTCCATCCCCATATAACGGCTATGTTCAAAATGACTAAAAGTACGACAACTCACTGAATAAAAGAGACACAAGCATTAAAGAGAGGCCAGCGTTCGACTGCGTTCAGTTTTCTTGATCAACCGAGCTAAGAATTTTTTTTGTATCTTCGCTTGTTGAAAAAGAAACCGATTTTATTCTTCCGAATTCATATTAAACCTTTTGCTCGAAAAATCCGGCAAAACCCGAAAAATCCGCAGATCTGGCAGCACTGTGGACGTTAGATCGTAAGTGTACGTGTGAAATCAGCGTGAAAAATTGTTGTTCTGTGTTACAAACTTCGTGGCAAACTTAATATACCCTGTTCAAGGTATGCAAATCTATCGTAAAAAAATTATTGCTTTTGGGGTTTCTAATAGATTTTGTAAATATAGTATCCCCCGTCTAATTGATTTTTTCGCTTATTTGAACCTCCTGATCGGTCAAAAATATATTGCATACAAAATACGTGTAAATTGTCCAGCTTAATTGGACCCGGTAAATTGGTTTCCTTGCATAATTGGTTAAAAATATGTGTTATTGAAAAATATATACCTTTAATATCCCCCTGTTAATTGCACAAAAAAACTGTCGTTAAAAATAATGTTTCGTTTCAAAACAGAAAACAAGTTTTTGTGTGAAGTCGCATTTTATTTCACGATCTTTAAATATGTGAATGCAAGTGCTGCATATGTACAACAATATGAATTGTTAGTTAGTTAATTTTTTTTTATAACAAGGATTTCTAAATATATAAGCTCATTGTATTGTTTTTGTTCTTTATATTTATATCCTGAAGCGGGTATATTAAGTTAGCCACGATGTTTGTAACACCCAAAAGGAAATGTCGGAGACCCTATAAAATATATATTTAAATGATCAGCATGATGAGCTGAGCCGATTTAGCCATGTCCGTCTGTCTGTCCGTCTGTATATACGCGAACTAGTCCCTCCGTTCAGATAACGATCTGAAATTTTGCAGACGTCTTTTTCTCCAAAAGAAGCTGCTCATCGCCGATATCGGACCTCTATATCATAAAGCTGTCATACAAACTGCACGATTGGAATCAAGTGCTTGTATGGAAAGCTTTGTCTTTTGACGAGATATCTTTAAGAAATTTGGTATAGATTATTTTCAAAGACAACGCTACTGTTTTTTTTATATTAATACTTAATCAGAAAACAAAGATTTACAATCAAAAATGATGATATTTCTAAACATTAGACTTGTGATGTGTGAACTGAAAGAAATATATAATATTAACGGTTTTAGAGATTTAATAGAAAAGTTTACGTTCGGTCTGATTCGCCGCCTTGTTGACAAACAACAATTCTATGCATTTTAATTACCACTTGTTGCTAAACTATAACTTTCATGTTATTAAAATATGGCATTGGTATCGCTTTCATATAAATTGTCAAAAAAAAAATTTAGACTCGGTAATACACACAGTGCAAAATTTTTCGAGATTCAGGAACTCGTAACTCATCTATCTGAATTTTTCTGGTTTCATTGCGACCTGTAAACATACATTTGCGACAATAAACTTTAACTCCAAATAGTGCTATGGTTTTTTCTTCATATTTAGAGAATTGTTTATCTCCCATATCTTGAAGAAATATTGAAATAGAACGAAAGATTTGCACCAGATAATAGGCTTGACATTCCTGAGACTTCTTATTGCACTAAGTTCTCCCAACGGAGAGTCAACTGTTTTGGTTACAGATTCAGTTGCACAAGATCCTACTAAATTCAACGAATATTCAGCACACATGAACTTATTCTGCTAATGGATTCATCATTTTGATTCTTGAATACACTCCTGAATATAAACCTGACCATTAACAACGTTGAATTTTCCTTTTTTTAAAGTACGTTTGAATAAATTTTAAGAATATAACCTCGTTTAAACCTTATAAACTTTTTTACAATTTTAAAAATCCGTAAGTTCATTTTGTTGTACACCATTCGCGCGTTACCATAAAATTTATTAATCATTAATTTTCGTTATAACTTAACCATTGACAGCGTTATAAATTTTAATTTCATTTTGTTGTACGCCATTTGCTGTTATAAAATATCGAGTTCTTCAAATTTCCATACAAGAATTAGATTTTCAGCGGCCAATTTGTATTTCATCTATATGCTGTAGTCGTCAAATCTGAGCAATTTCTTCGGAGATTGTACCCTCGAAAATTTGGTGAACAAAAAAGTTTTTCGATACAAAAACTTGATTTTGATCGTTCAGTGTGTCTGGCAGTTATTTGATATAGTGGTCCGATATCGGCGGTTCCGACATATAAGCACCTTCTTAGGGATAAAAGGAGTGGCTAGTTCGCGTATATACATACAGAGGGACGGGCCGACGGACATGGCTAAATGAATTCAGCCCTTCACGCTGTCACATCTCCGACGTTTCTTTCAAGGTGTTACAAACTTGGTGGGAAACCACATAGTATATCCTGCTCAGGGTACCATAAAAAGTACTTCGTTTCGTATTATGCAATAAAGAATAATTTGATTGCACTTCTTCGAAACTTGTGCTGAGAAATTATCTAATTCCGCCTAGAAAAAAAATTTTAACAACATTCAGACTTAATTTTTAATTAAGAGATTTCTATTTTTTAACGGCACTAGTAAAATTAAAATAATTACCGCTTCTTGTTGATAGACAGAACGCTTATGGCTTTGTATGGGCTCCTTCACCTTTAAAAGTTTTGCAAAAAAAGCAAAGCAAAATGTTCTAATCTTTTTATGCTTCAACAAGCAGCTGTCGCTATTTTTTATTTATTTCGTGTATTTCTATTATTTTTTAATTAGAACGCATTTACTTTTGGGTATATGATTGATATGTATGTAATTTCAGTTAAAATATTATGTTAAGATGAAAGTAACAAAACAAAAAATATTTAATATCAGAGAGAAGCACGAAAAGCAAAGCTTTAATTGTATCTGTTTGCTGCGCTTCGATGACAAAGAAGAATTGTCTAGCGCAGCGACTGGAGTTCTATGTAAATCAAACATTAGTTGTTTCAAGTAAAGCAAAGTCAAGCCTGACAAATAAATAAATAAAGAAATTAAGCAAAAAATAATAAGTAATTTCACATGTTTTTTATATTATATGAAAGAGTAATCTCATCAAAGATGAAAGAATAAAAAGATATTAATACTTACATTATTCGACAGACTGTAATTGATTTATCAAAATATTAATATTGCTTCCACGAATTGAAAAGTCAATGGAAAAAATAATTGTATAATGTTAAAATTTACACAAAAACCCTGAAGAGGGTATATTAAATTTGACACGAAGTTTGTAACACCCAGAATCACATCACAAAACATCGGATACCCTATAAAATATATACAACAATATATTATATTATATGATCAGTTATATATGAGTTTATTTAGCCATCTCCGTCTGTCTGTATACCTATATGCGAACTAGTCCGTCAGTTTTTAAGCTATCGATCTTAAACTTTGCACCTGTTCTTTTCTCACTAAGAACCAGCTCATTAGTCGAAACGGCCGATATCGGACCACTATAGCATATAGCTGCCATACAAACTGAACAATCGGTCTTAAGTGCTTGTACAGAAATCTGTTTTATTTGACGTTTCTGAAGAAGACGTCCTACTTAAATTAAATAAGTTAAAACCATCTTTTAGTTACGGTCCTGACATGATACCCTCATGCTTCCTAGAAAATGGTGCCATATATATTTACTTGCCTTTGACAAGGATATTTAATTCCTCTCTTAAACACGGTATATTTCCTTCGATATGGAAACAGTCATTTATAATTCCTTTGCATAAAAGTGGATTTAGATCCAACATTGAAAACTATAGAGGTATCGCAAAACTATCAAAGTAGTAGTACCTAAACTTTTTGAAGCTATCATCACTGACCATATAACCTTTTCGATTTCTCCGTTAATTTCCTCATCTCAGCATGGATTTCGTAAAGGGAAATCGACTCTAACAAACTTGCTTGAATTTGTAAATGTAAATCATTGTAAATGTATCATTGGGTTTTAAGGAACATAAGCATACGAATGTTATAAACACATACTTTAGCAAAGCTTTCGATAAAGTAAATCTCTCGATTCTCATACATAAACTTTTGTTATACGCTGACGACGTAAAGCTTTTTAAATCATACACTTCAACTGAGGAAAGGTGTCTGTTGCAAACAGACTTAAACAATATGGTTGCATGGTGTGATAGAAATGATTTGCCATTGAATCTGAATAAATATAAGACGATGTGTTTTTCCTGTAGATCTGTGCACCCCTCTTCTTATGTAATAAAACACCATATTCTGGAGAAAGTTTTTAACTGTGTTGATTTGGGAGTTAATATGGACCCTAAGCTTAATGGTCTTGAAAGCAAAAGCTGTTCTCAGTTTTGTTAAACGTTGGTCTAAAGAATTTAGAGATCCGTATATTACTAAAACACTTTTTACAACTTTGGTTAGACCTATATTGGAATATATTTCTGTTGTATAGAACCCTAACAACCAAATCCATTCTGACAAGTCAGAGTCTGTTCAAAAACAATTTTTACTTTTCGCCTTAGCGCATTTCCGATGGGATTCTAGGGTAAGTCTACCTCCATACACTAGTCGTTTAAAACTTATTAATCTACCTACACTTTCTAGTCGTAGGGAAATGCTTGGCATAATATTCTTAGTGAAAATCTTGAATGGAACAGTTTGCAGTTCTTTTCTTCTGTCTGAAATTAAATTTAATATCCCGATTCGCTTTTCGAGGCAGTGTAGACCTTTACTGTTAAAATCCTGTAGATCAAATTTCGATCTAAACGAGCCATTCCGCCGTATATGTCATGATTTTAATTCTCATTCCAGCACATTATCTGACTCACTTTTCAAAATTAAAAAAAATTTATTGTTTACTCTTAATGAATGAAAATGTGTAAATTTTTTATATTGTAACTATAAATCTTAGCTGTTGAAATTTTTGTTTCTGTAGCTGAGCAGTTTTAGCTCTCAACACTTAAAAAACTCTCTTGCCTTTTCTGACTCGGCTAATTTCGCACGTATGCGGATTGCGCCCCTCGCGTCGGTTGGGCGAGAGGATGGTAATCGTTGGGTTATTAAAATTTTAACGTGCATGCACACACTGTAATACTTTTACCTTGCCTAGCTGTTTCAAATTATTTTGGTAATTGGTTGGTATACTTTTATGACTTCGAAAAGTGTAAGATTGATTTGAGATTTTCTGAATTATGCAGCAGTTGGATTGATGGAAAACTCTGTCTCAATTGTTGAAGCGCTTAAAACTTTTTAATATCTCGATTTTTGTATTTAACAGCACTTAATAAACGTTTGTAACTTTTTTAGCATCACTGCATTGTAATAGATTTTAGTTATAACTAATTTCGATTATATTTGTGTTCAATTATCAATCAATCTGTTATTTTTTCAGCTGGTTCAAGGAGGAAAACGAGCAACTATTGCCACTGCAGCTAAGTGAGCGCATTACAATCGTTTCTGCAGGATTGTTAAAGATTGCGAAGGTAATATGAAAAGTTAAACGGTAACATATAAATTTCCCAACGTAAATAGAAATATTTAATCAAAATGTACACAATGAATTTATAGAACTAATTCAAATCCCTATACATAAATCTCATTGTATATGTATCTTAGTGGATTTTAAAATAAATACATTACATGTTTTATGTTTTTTTGTTCATTTAATGAGAAGAGGCTTGAAAATCTTAAAATTAATAACAGTATCCCGCGATTAATTGATCGATTGGTTATGGAAAATATACCTTCAATTTCCCCAGATTAATTGCTTTGGTTAAAAAAATAATCTAGCATGCCGCATATAAGGCCTCCGTTAGTTCCGGAAGTTTTAAAATACATACAAGAACTTCAAAGATATTTTTGTTCAGAAAACAAGTTTTTATGTGAATTCGGGAATATGGAATCGCATGTCTTTTTCCATATATTGAATAATATACAAAAACAGTTACATATTTCTTCTAATAACATTTTAAAAATATAAGCAAAGACCTCTTAATATTTGAACGCAAGTACTGTATATAAACAATAATATCAACTAGTTTGTTCCTTAATTATAATCTTGCAACATGTTGCTACAAAGTATGATAGTTTTGTTCACTTAACGGTTGTTTGTATCACCTAAAATTAATCGAGATAAATATGGAGTTATATATGTATAAATGATCAGAGCGATAAGACGAGTTGAAATCCAGGTGACTGCGTTTCCGTCCGTCTGTTCGTCTGACTGTGCAAGCTTGAGTAAAAATTGAGATCTCAAAAAAGTGATTACGAGTTTAATCGGACTACTGCCTCGCCCACGAAAAAGCATTAACCGACAACCTATAAATTGCCATAACTACGCACTTAATTAAGATATGAACCTGTAATTTGGTAGAGGTGATTACAGTAGCAAAGGGCACCTGTGGTATAAATTTTTTGAAAAAATGGGCGTGGCCCCTTTTAATGTTCATAGCTCCTAAATCACTAAAGCTACAATAATCAAATTCGCTAAGGACAAATCCTATAAGAACCTCTACCGACAGTAAGAAAATGGATGAAATCAGATTATAACCCCTCTTTTCCTCATATAACGGGTTTGTTAAAAACTACTAAAAGCGTAGTAAATCAATAACTAAATGCGCCAGAGACAAATTAAGACAATGGGTGTGGCACCGTTCATATTTAGGTCAAAACCCATTTCGCGAGACCTACTCGACCGATTTTAACCAAATTCGGCACAAATAATGCCTTTGAGGTGTCCCACCTTATGATCAAAATTGGGCTACAAATGTTTAAGCCCCTAGCTACCGAGTATGTGGACCCCAGTTCTCATTGCGAACTATTTATCCAAAATGTTTGTTAATCTGTATTTCACAGAAATTCGGAAACAATTTTTTCCTGAAAATAGTATGCTTGTATGTCAAAAATGGATTGAACCGGATCATTACTCTCAGGAAGTGTTAAACCGAGTTTTTAACACCAGAACACGTTATTTTCTCCATTTTCTGTATCTAGTTTGTAAAAGTAAATTCCCTTCGACCTTTTAGATAAGAGCTTCTGCTCCTAAGGGATATTATTTGTGCTAATTTTTATTTCGTTATCTTCCCTGATTTATCCATTGTAAAATGGAAAAAGGAACGAAAGAACCTGACGGTAGAAAGAATAAGTTTCATTAAGATATCTAATTTTTTTTCAAGTTATCGCTTGGCTGGGATGGACAGTCCGACAGACAGAAATCCGCCATCGCCATAAATTTTAGGTTATACAGTGTGTAGTAAAATATTAACGGATTCGTTTAATATTGACAACTGTTTTTTTTTTTGTTTGTTACACAATTAGTTTGAGTTTTGCTTTTTTTTCCTACATTATTGTAAAAGAATCTACTCCTTCATGTTCTCAAAGCAATCTTTCAATCGGCCCTATTCACGTTGCCGTCCAAGTTGTTGTCGTTGTTTTTGTCGCTTCGTTTCCTAATTCGAATTCTTCAAGTATATCGCAATTAAAAAAAAAGTTATCGAAATTTTAAATTAAAATTAAGAAAGTATCAGAACGCCCAATAGCGCCATTGTATCCGATGTTTTTTATTTGTTGTTTTGCAGTAAATATTTTAACCATTTTGTGAATTTAAGTACATAATAAATAAGACAAAATAATAATAATAATAATAACTTTTCCTCCTGTTGCTCTAGCTTCGGATTTGTTGTGTACTCTTTTTTCTTTATTTTTACACATTTTATTTACTTTATCTCAACCGTCTCCGTCGCGACATGGAGGTGCAAATGAATGAAGTTTTTTTTTAAATATTCGTTAAAAAAATATCGAAATTTAATGGTTTTATCCGCTTTCTTAAACCTTTGGCATACGCATGATTTTTTTCCCATTTCGGACACTAAAATTTCAAACTGCGTGTTTCATATTGACTTCAAATAATCGCGCTCTCAATTACTAACATACAACGACAAGGAACGACTGTTACCATGTCGTTTCAAAATGGGGAATACGAATTTACTTTTGATCAATGTCGATAACGCCAACAGGAATGCCAAATAGCCATTCTTATTTCGTTTTAAAACGACAACGACCAGTATAGGGCCGATTTTAAGCAATGCATGGTATAAGAAATGCTGTGTTCATACAAGTTAAAAATTTTTAAATTTCTCAAACTTTTTTATATTAACACTTTTGGCGAACCTAATTTTTTGCTATGTTGATCCTTATAAATGTGCATATTTTCGTCATTCAATTTTATAGTTTATATTGTAGTATGTATTATTTAAGCATTCGATTTACTTTACAATAAATATGTACTTATAGGTATACCTATACATATGTATGTATATTTTCATGAATTAAAGTTAAATGATAATTTATGTACTAACCCTATCTAGGCCCGTCTAGAAGATAGTGGAAAATATCTTTGTTGGGTTAACAACACTGCCGGTGAGGAAACAATTCAAGTATCATTAACAGTAACTGGTAAGTATGTCAACTATAGAAATTGAATACTAATTTGTAGTGAAAGAAATGTTTGATGTTGTAGGGAAGTTGGGTAGCTAGACGGTGATCGTTCTGGACGCTTTAATTTCCATGATAACTTTAACGCCTATAATGAGATATGAACATCGAACTTTTAATATTATTTATGTACATATATTCAATTCCGCAAACGACCACTTCGTAGGGAGCCAACTTCTTAGTTAGCCGCGCTGCGGATGCATTATAATAATAATTTTTTAATTAAAACAACACGCATTGTGACTTAACTATATCAGACATAAGATGTACAAACATTTTTTGTAGATTATTATATGTTCCGCAAAGTCTTAGTACATTATTTTGTTCTATAATCAAGGAATTTTTTTGGGAATTTTTTACGCCGTAGGTTACATTATTGGCGTTTTAGTAAGGATTCCTAACTGTTTTGAAAATATAATATAGCCTGTGTCCACCGGATAGAGTGTAGCTTCCCAACGGGGAAAGAACTTTTTAATCCCTCAAGTATTTTCATAGCCTATTTAATTCAAACAAAATAGATAAGGCGGGATAGTACCATTTCAGCATTTTTCTATTTCCTATCAATCGTCTTGGTAGGATCGTGATAAGCTCAAGGTATTTTAATGATACATGAAATTAGTTTATGTCATCACAAAGAATTTGCCTATAATATAATGGTATAAGATAAACGGGAATACTCTCATCTTTAATAATAATTAGGTACATATCACCCCTACAAATTATATTGTAGTACTCAATACCAACAACCATTAAGATAATTTAATAACGCTATTTAAGGAACTTGAATTTTTCGTCATGTTTTTATATAGCACCCTTAACAGCTCATCTGCAGCCTCAGGTACAAACAGTAGATGTTGACAAGGATGCGCAATTTCAATGTATAGTGTCCGGACATCCGGTGCATGATATCAATTGGTTACATGACGGAAAACCAATACTGCGTGATAATCGAGTAGAGGTAAGTTTAATATAAATATAAAATAGAAATATAATATATGGCAATGATATTATTGTGCATTCAACCAACTATGTAAAGAGTTTTCCAATCTTTTTGTTATCGTTATCAAAAGATTTTTGTAGGTCTTTGTAAAAATACTAATATTTTCAACAAGAGAACATTTAATTAATAAATGTACGTTAGTTTCTACATTTTATCGAGAATGTATGAACTAGGAAATTTTAAACTTCAAACAAGCAAAGACTTGAGTGCACTAGTACGGGGTGAGTCTGATAATCACTTAGCCTAACCCCCCGATAATGTCAATATCCCAGATGTCCCGAAAAAGGTTATCACGGTAATTGAGTACTTCGACAAGGGTACAACAGATGCCGAAACATTGGGCTGATTTCGTGCGTGTGTCTTCATTTGTTTCCAAATTTAAAAAAGTGATTCGCCGTGTAGAAATTTCAGCCAAGATGAGAAGCTCCGAACCTACTTATGTGTAAATTTATAAGGAAAATATCATCCAATTTGCAAGATATCTTAATGAAATGCAGTTTTCATACACTACATATAATTATTGTATATGTTATGTAGGAGTGGAAATATTTTCTAAAGCATTTTTTAGTTAAATTAATTCAGTCTAACCCTTCCTTTAGTCCCTCTATCCCCTATGTGTTGACTTTTGACTAGAGACAGATGAAAGATATTTTAATGGCATTGCCGAATGTGGATACCGAATATGGCTATGGCCTACATTTTATCTTTGAGACATCTTAAATAAATTTACAGGTTTTTTTTTCTGAAGGAAAAATCCTTCCCCTAGGATAAGGATATTGAAACTTCCTGTTGACGGCTGGATGACATAGGGAAAGAGTTCAACTTCATTGTTCGACGAAATCGTGAAAGGATTACAATTAAATTTGGTATCTTAACTATATTAACTTATATTAAGATCTTATACTCACTTAGTTTTATTACTATATTTTATTTCCGGTCAGCGAAAAATTTTACCGAAATCATCTTCAAATACATACATGTGATATGAACTCAACCGAAGAGGCTAAATTTAATATTAAATTTAATATCATATATTGAGTTGATGTGAAAAACGTCAACCAAAAGATCGGAACTCATCATTAATATAATTTTATAACGTTTAAGAAAACTTGTCCACTTAATTTCATTAAAATATCACACATTTTGACCTACCTAAACGATTTAAAGTCAGGTGAAAAGTCTGAAATCAGAATATAGGGTATATTCGGTAAAAGAGTTGGTTAAAAAAAGTTTTAATAAAATCACTATATGTGGTATGAGAGTTGGGGTAATTCGTAGACCAAATTCACATATTTTCGGCATTGAACTATGGCATATCCAATATTATACGCTCAGTTAACTTACTGATCGCCAACGGAATGTTTGAATGCTTTCTGAATTTCACCTCACATACCATCACTAATATACATGGGGTAAAGTCAGCCGGATGTTTTTAAATTTTGAATATAACTAGGGCTGAGGCAAGTTTTCAACCGATTTTATCCATTTTAGCCACAAAGATAGACAATTTCAACTCACATATAGGGCAATATATGTATGTGGTGTAAAGGCTATTGGAAGTTCGAAAATCTTTATATTAGGGCTAAGGGAAGTATTGACCCGATTCAACCCATTTTTGACGCAAGGATTTGCTATTATAAAAAAAAAACATTCGCCCCAAATGAGGGCGTGGCGGGGTTATTATCCGAATTCACCATGAATGGTTTGAGAGACATATATCTTAAATGTATTAGGAGGTGGATTGATGTTTCCTGATATACCCAATATATTAAACTTAGCACCTTTGGTAGAGTTTATGTCATATATAAAACATATAAGTTAATCAAGCTGATTTTAATATAAATGTTTTCATAAAAGATAGTAATAAAACTAAGTGAGCCTATGGCCTGTTATGTAAGTTAATAGGATACAAAATATGTTTGTAATCATTTCAAGCTTCCGACGAATAATGAATGTTGAGTTCTTTCGAATAATTTTTATACTCTTGCAACATGTTGCTGCAGAATTTAATAGTTTTGTTTACCTAACGCTTGTTTGTATCGTCTAAAACTAATCGTGATAGATATGGGGTTATGTATACCTATATAAATCATCAGGACGACGAGACGAGTTGTACTCCGAGTGACTGTCTGTCCATCCGTTTGTCTGTGTAAGTTGTACCTTTAGTAAAAATTGCAATGTCATAATGAAACTTGGTGCACGTATTCCTTGGCAAAAAAGTGTGACCACAGAACGTCATTAATCGAAAACCTATAAATTTCCATAACTAAGCCACACATTAAGATACAAAACTGTAATTTGGTACAACGAATTGTAATAACAAAAGGCACCTGTTATTTGATAAAAATAAATAAAAAAGTGGCTCGGAACTCTAATAAGTTAAATGTACATATCTCCTAAACTATTTAAGCTATAATAACCAAATTCGCTCAGAGCAAATCTTTTTAACATCCCTACTCTGTAAAAATAGGTACTTAAAATGGATACAATCGGGTGAAAACTTGCCTTAGGCCACATATAACATATATAAGGATTTTCAAACATCAAGTTGACTTTACTTCTTATATATTGATGATGTTGTGTAAGGTACCTTAATGAAACTGAATTATAATTTTTTCTGTTACCAACAAACCCACCGCATGCAAGGAACACTGGTAAAAATAAAAAATACGTGAAATTATTTTATACTATAATGATTTTCGTTATTCTAACAAACCTTATGCCGAATATGTGGGTCAGTGTGTGAGTTATTTATTAATAAAATTGTTTGAAAATATGTTCACAGTATACCAGAGCAATGTGAAAGGTTAATGCCACAATTTCAGACCTTTCTCGGTCCCCAATTTATCCTATGTAGTGATTCCCGACTTTCCAGCTGACTTTCAACCGTACAATATAGGTTGGTGAAAATGTGTAATATTTTAGTGAAATGAAGTCGACAAGTCTTCTTTAAAATTATATTTATGGGTTAGCGCTGAATATTAATAGGGTTTGTCTAGACCTTGACCTAACCCTTATATTCTTGATATAATTAATTCTGATCCGTTGGTTGGCTTTTAGTCTCTTCGGGTGAGTTTAAATCACATATATATATCTCATTTCAAGATGATTTTAATATAATTTCAGCTGTCACGAAGTAAAATATAGCAATAAAACTAAGTGAGTGAGTCTTTGACCTATAATATAACTTAATAAAATACCAAATTTGATTGCAATTACGCCATTTACGATTTCATCGAATAATGAATGTTGAATTTTTCCGCAACATTTTTTAATATACAGTTTTGCCAACACCTGAATGTGTTCAAGAGTATGAAATCTTCGGTTACATCAAAACTTAGCCCTACTTTATTTATTTGTAGAATTAGTACCATCAAGAAATGCTGATACTGATTTTACGTTTCAATCAAATATACGCACATAAAGTGCATAAATTATTGTACATTGCCTTTAACTGTTCAAGAAGTGTATAATCATTATTTAAGCAATAACTACATTTTACAGATACTAACAGACCCGCCAAGACTGATAATTAAGAAAGTGCAAAAGGATGATCCTGGGATGTATCAGTGCTTTGTTTCTAATGAGTGGGAGCAGATTCAGTCGACAGCTGAGCTACAATTGGGAGGTAAGTAGTTTGATTGACTAAAATACCATTAAATAAATGACACCACATTATTTCGATTTATACTCATCATTTGCATTTCTTTTATACATAAGAACAATTGTGTTATAAATTAATGCATTAAATATTATATAACATCTTTCATGTTCAGGTATAGCCATATATTGCTCATTCATCCGTCCTTTGTATACATATGTTATTTTATGGTATACAACTTAGTCCACCCAATATACTTTCTTTTTTTTTACTGGCACGATAAGATGAGAGCTTAAGGGATTAGGTGTACTCAAAGACATGAAAAAATTACATTTTTAATTTCTTTTTACCAGTAAATTATTTAAGTTTATTAAAGTAAAAACATTGTATCATTAAATATGGTTACCACTTGACTTGACAGAAATTTGTGAAAAAATGTAATAGCTGTTTGAGTTGATCCAGTTTCAATTGAAGTTCCTTGCGGTGACCATCATTAATTCTTCAAGATGCATTTAAAACTAATTGGATAAAAGAATTAATTTTATTATTACTTAATCTAGTACCTTTTTATAAATTAACGAAATGGCGGTCTCTATAAACTGCACGATCAGAGTAAAGTGCCTGCATGGAAAAAAATTTTATTTTTCCGATTCACTAAATTAAATCTGGATCAAGTTATTGTAAGGAACCTTTGTATCTGTGAAGGGTATTATAGCTTCGGTGCAACCGAAGTTAACGTTTTTTCTTGTTTTTATATAATTTGAGATGATTCACATTTTTTATACCCTGAACAGGGTATATTAAGTTTGCCACCCAGAAGGAAACGTCGGAGACCCTATAAAATATATACAAAAACGATCAGCATGATGAGCTGAGTTAATTTAGCCATGTCCATCTGTCTGTATACGCGAACTAGTCCCTCAGTTTTCAAGCTATCGATCTGAAATTTTGACACGACCTTTTCTCCCCAAGATGCTGCATATATGTCTAAACGGCTAATATCGGACCACAATAGCCAGGGCCCGATCTAGCTATTTAACCTCTCCGGGCAAAGATCATTTTGGCCGCCCTTTACATACACACAGCTATATAAGTCATGAGCTAGTTTTGTTGGGGGATATTAAGTATACAAGTACCTACATAAAATACGTGATATTTTTGGGGGTTATACCTACCTATAATATTCACGTTAGTCTATTGGGCCTTCTGAAGATGGACCTATACGAAATTTAATGAGTGTTTTTATGTTAGTAAGTATACAATGTATGTCTTTATAAGGAACTTCACAGAAATTTATATATTTTTTTATCGGCATAGTTATGTACTTTCAACTTTATCATCATCATCAACCTATTGTGACTCACTGCTGCGTATTACTAATGTTGCCCTTTAACGGGCATTTTTGTAATGAATGCTCATCTGACCTTCAAAGCAAAAATTTCGTAGGGACTGGTTGAAAATATTTGATTGGCTTGAAGAAAAGTAAGCGTGTTAGGTTAGCGAGGTCGATCCTAACAGGGATCTCATTTTACAGTTTTGTTGAGACGGCTAATGTCACTTTCGGCTATGTCTCTGGTTCTCCGGAGCTAAGACTGCCGAAATTTTTCAACCTCAGTCTTGCAAAGGTTGAACAAGAGTGGAGAAAGTTTGACAACTGTCGTCCGACCAGATTCCTAGCCATGAATGCCTACTAAAGTGTCCAGTAAGAACCTCTAGGATTGCGGCAAGATGAACTTTGCTTAAGGCAAGTAGTTCAGTAGACCTCATATGCCTCTTCTCCAGCGATTTCTTCCCATCTATGAGTACATATCCCCAGTAGGTCTTTGAGCAGCGAAAAACCTCCACAAGTAGCCTTTGCGACGCAGGGATCCAAGTTTTCACTGAATCAGTTGAAAGAGGAGAGAATTTGGCCGGGTCCTTGTTCAGACACCTTCATATACCCTTCCCTGGGCCTAAGTGCTCACATGCTAAATGTTCATTTTAGAACAATATGGGGTAAATTAATTAATAGTTTTCGATGTTAAAAACCACAAAATTTGCGTTATCTCTTACTTACTTACTTTATATATGTACTACATATATATTGCATTGTGTTCTTATTCTTCATATCTTTATATACGGATTAAACTTTGTTTAGATGCATCTCCAGAATTACTTTATTGGTTTTCGGAGCAAACATTGCAACCCGGACCCACTGTGTCGTTAAAGTGCGTAGCAACTGGAAATCCTTTACCGCAATTCACATGGTCACTCGATGGATTCCCGGTAAGTATTAAAATTGATAATATGACATTAAAATCTGTGAGTAATTGTTGCTCTTAAGACGAAAATATTAATTATTTGAGCGTATTACTGCCATAAAAATTTGGAGTCAGCTTAAAAACTTATACGCCCTTCCTGTTACACATTTGGCATATTTTTATTAGTTTAGTAACAGTAATACGAGAAGGGATTGTTCTCCGCTTTCACACATTTTAATTTTTCATTTCATCATGAAATAGACGAAAGAAATGTGTTCATTAAGTTCGGTGGGGTGGCTTCAGTAGTATTTGAAATTCGTGCCCTGAATGTATTTGAGAGGAATCATGCCAACATTAAAAATGTCAAACCACAGACGCTTTCTCTATAATGATCCTCTTTCCATTTCACTTTATATTAATTTTTATCGATTAACAACATTTTTGTGGAAGTGGCAGTTGTTCATCTGCACTGAATGCCAAATGTGCATCATGTTGCGAGAGTATAAAAGTTTTAAAATAAATACAGAACACAGGTGGGGATACTTCAGATTCAGAGCCAGAGACTAGTAAAACTATTTTTTAAACAGCTAAATTTTTCTTTATATCGTTGCAGAAAATGTTATAACAAATCACATTTGGGGATAAAAATTAATGAATGGTGGTGAATAATTTTTACTAAAGAATGATCATTAATAATAAAATTATTTTAAATTATGGGATCATAATACATTTTTGTTCAAATAGTCCAAAACGTTAGATTAAAATATACCCTTTGTCTGATAATATTGAAAACAAGTAAGGAAGAGCTTAATCTGGGTGTATTCGAACCCTTTATACTATTACAATTTGAAAATATTAAAGGCGGGGAAATACGTTCAGGTGTTGCAATAGTTTAATTAAACAAATAAGCAAGGACTAAGTTCGAGTGTAACCATGTACTCTTGAAATTTTAAAGAATCAAAGCCCGAAAATTCCTTAAGATGATGGCAAAACTTTATATTATTAAACAGGTAAAGAAGGCCTAAGTTCGGGTGAAACTGAACATTTTAAACTCTCCTAAGGTAAAGTGATATACGGGATTTTCGTATATATTTTAATTAAAAGTAGGAAGTATTGCATCCATTATTTACAATCACAGGCAGGAAGATACATTATTATTATAAAAAGATTCTTTTGGAATTTTATTAAGATTCCTAACATATTGACCGATATATGCGATATAAAGACAACCGGAAGATCGAAAATATTTGTATTAGGTATTTGGGCTAAGAGAAGTATTGATCCGATTTTACCCGTTTTGGGCACAAAGGCATGCTGTTGTCATAAAAATATTCCCCCGAATTTCAGTACTAGAACTAATCGACTGTCCACATATTTGGTTTTTGGGTCCTTGAAAAGTTGTAGTCCGATTTCGAAAATGTTTTGGCGTTAGATTAGATAGTTTGAGGACACTATTTGTACAAAGTTGTACCGTAACAACTGATGTTTGATTTGTTACTGTAAAGTGAAAGAATCATATAGGATTTAAAAGTTTCACCTAAAGTGAGCGGTGCCCATTGTCTAATTTTTACATCTGCCTAATTTTCAAAGTGTATGAAGAAATACAAAAAAGACTTCTTCTCAGCAAGTTTGGCTGCTTTCAAGCTTCAGAAAATATGTACATGTAACCATTTAAGTTAAAGGTACCTTTGCCAAAAATTATCTACCCTAATCTAAATATTGTGATTTTGGTTAATATTAAGTCGAATATTTTAAATTTCTATAATTAAATCATGTGTTATATGAGATTGATTGAAGAACTGACCGTAAAATTATGGCATAAATTCAAGCAAGTACTCGGGTTCCGACAATAGACTTCAAAAATTGCACAATTTTTGGTTCAAATAACCGGAGAATTTATGAACCATTACTCGTTTAATTGAACAATTCGTTTAATTACAGGAACCCCGCTTATTTGGACCACCTAATCAATTTAAAAAAATCATATGTGCACTTTAAGTATTTATTTAGTTTTTAGTAATGATTTTAAAATAATATTTTTAACTTTACCCGGAAACAAAAGAACAAAAATGAGACAATGTACTTACATATTTAGAGATCATTGTTATAAAAAAACAAACTTAAGCAACAAAAAATGCATATTATCGTCACTTAAAATGCAAAATAACGTAACATCACTTTTCACAAGCCTACCGGAGGAGGAAAAACGAATGAGCGAAACATATACAATTTATGATACGTTATTTTATTAATATTATATGATGTAAAGAATCGTAATCACCAAAAACCAAAAAAATTTCGAATTTTTTGATGATACGTTATTCTGCATTTTAGGTGACGATATGTATATGTATATAGTATGCAGCATTTACGTTCACATATTTAGAGATCGCGGCTTACATTTTTTAAATGTTAATTTGAAAAGTCTGTAATTTTTTTTGTACATATGTTGTGCTTTATATATATATATATATATATATATTCCGTAATTCACACAAGAACTGGTTTCTTAAATAAAAATATGTTTGAAGTTAGTTTTCTTGCATATATCATCTTCTTTCTTTTGCTCGTCAACATCAGCACCATGCAAAATATCTTCACCAATAATTAATTGCTTTGCAAAGATGCTAACTGCTGCTTATCACAAATGCTGCGAAATAAGTGCATATGTATGTCCGACAATGGCAGATTATTTTTATAACAACATTGTTTTGTTCAATTAACACATATTTTTAACCAATTATGCGGAAAACTCAATAACCGAGTTCAATTAAGCGGGAAAATTTACACGTATTTTGTAATATTTTTGAACGATCAAGTTATTCAAATAAGCGGGAAAATCAATTAATAGGAGGTAAGCGGGGAATACTATACAATTAATAAACAAAAGCGTATGGACTTTGCTACAAAATATGTTAAAGCAAATGAATGTTTTGATGTCTTATTTAGCGGTGAAAGCAAGTTCAACTTGTTTGGTTGTGATAGATGATATTATGTTATCAAAAAAGGTGTTTCCTACGGTCACGGAGGCGGTTCCGTAATGGTGTGGTTTTGGGAATTTAGTATTTATGGAAAAAACAATGGATCGTATTGTGTATTTGAATTTATTAAAAGCCAATTTGAGGCAATCCGAAGATAAAATGCAGAAGGTTGTACTTCCAACAGGACAGGGACCTAACTAACATGTAACTTGCCTCAACAGGTTCATTCTCTTCCCCAGTCGCCTTATTTGAACCCCATAAAGCATTTATGGGATGAACTAGACGTATCAGAAAAAAGACGTCAAAACATAAACCGGATTGGGATCTTATTTCAAATTATACATAAAAAATTATTTTTTTTAATGAGAAACATACCTGTTCTGCAGAGCCAAGGTGGTCCCACTTAATATTAATTTAAATATTATTATTATTGCTTTGTTAAAAAACCATTTTGGTTTGAAGTATGTAGGCTTTTCTGTGTTTGAAAAACAATTTTTATGAAATCTTTTAATAAATACAGAAAAATTAAAAAAAAAAATTTTGAAAATATCTTTTTACTCTTAACTGGAATTATTTTGGTATGTGTGTATGTGTTTTATTATTCCGTTGTGCGTAAATGGCTCAGAACTGCACTTTTCAGGGAGGAATGTAGATTTTATTGGGCGACTGTATGTACATACATACATACATACAAGAGTTTGTAACAACAATCTATCTCGACCAAGTTACATAGGCAACTCAAAACTCATACATTCCAGAAAGAGACCTGAAAAAGGTATAGGAGGCAGGGTATGATAAACAAAACCCGTTTAATTAAAATTTTGCTGCCTTTTATAATTCAAATTAGATGATAGATCGTATTACGCGCATAAATTATTGTATGGGATTTATAGGGGATTTGTCATGTCACATACACATAGTCAAAACCGCGATAGACGAATAACTGTAAGATGAATCTTCTCGTCCTAGAAAAACACATTAGACCTAATTTTGTTTTTACACGGTAGATTGGTTCCAGAAAAAACCGTGTAAAAACATTAATCACTTGCCTTAATATGTATATACATACATATGTATGTGCTAATTACAATTGCTCTGACCAGTATACTTGGTTGTATTCACAAAAAGGGAATTGCTCTAAATTTGCGATATGAATATACAAGTACATACATATGTATGTATTTCCCGAAAATTAAATCTGACAAATACAATTTACAAATTTAGTATCGTGCTAAATGGAATATGCCCTAGGGTTTAGGTGTCGATACTCTAATTTGACCGAATTTTTTCAAACAAAATAGTGATAAAACGATCGCGTAAAATCGGCTATATTCAATTCGTTATATTGTAATGTCAAACTTTTCTACATATTTCAGATTCCGGACAACTCTCGATTTTTGGTTGGTCAATATGTAACCATTCATGATGACGTTATAAGTCACGTGAACATATCGAACGTCAAAGAGGAAGATGGTGGCGAATACGCTTGTACAGCACAAAATTCAATTGGGAAGTATGTATTTTCAAATGACGGTAATCTTAACTTTATTCGTGTTTTGCTATATCTTATACATACATATGTATTAGTCCATGATGCTAAATTTCGGAACGGTTTTCATTTTATATTTTTCATGAGAAATGAAATATTATTCAGCCTTGTAATGAAACACTACTTACATCTCAAGGTAACATCATATGAAAAGGAGAGGTCGGTTGTTTATACCTATCGTAACATAGTGCGAGAGTATAAAAATGTATTTCGGGAGGAGTGGAAATAAAAATATATTAGAGATATGGTGGCGAGATCCCTATTTAAGATTGATTAGTATTCTCATCAGAGATAAAGAGATGCCCAACTCATCTGTCAATAGAAATTAGAGAGCAATTGCTGAACATCAAAACCTTCTGACCTCAGTCAACTGTCAAAGTTCTGCAGGGTTTGCCGTTTAGCAATTAGAAAAAAGGGACGCCCAGATTAAAATTTTAGCAAAATATGTCAACAGAGAGATAAATTGGAAAACAATGAAAGTTAAAGAAAACGCGAAATTGAAATGTATGTTAAGAAATCTTTTGTGAGTGATGTCATGCTTCGCAGTATTAATTTCCAATTGAAAATTATAAAAAAAAACATTTAATGATTGAGAGCCAATACATTTATTCACTTTATTAAGTATTGAAAATTTTAAATATAAAGAATTAAATAATGTCTCCATATTTTAAACATCCAATATATAATAATTTTTAATCGTAATAAATGTTGGGTGTTTTAATTTAAATGCCCAAAAATTATTATTTTCTCCGATCTGGCAATGGAAAATGTTATAAAAATCGCGGCCTTGAGGCGCACTTACACTGGAATAAGTTGGATATCCCTTTATCCCTGATTCTCATATTCAGTAACTGGGAGCTATGAATTTTATATTCAGATGGCGAAAAGTTTTAGAATAGAGTTGCCATATTGAAGGTTGCCACTTTGTTATATATATGTATATCAAATTCGGTTCAGATTGGTAGAGTAGTTGCTATAAGATTTCATATTAAAGTGGAAGTTGCCACGACCACTGTACACTTTTTATACCAATTCCAACGAAAATATTTGAGATGGTTAGATTGAATGCTTGAATTTTAGCACGTTGCTAATATAGTTATCTATAGTTCTTTCTATCCATATATTTTTTTAATCGCTAGAAATACCAACATAACAAAGCACCTTGAGCGGTAAAACCATTAAAAGCATCGCATTTTTATTGTCCGGAATATGGTCTTCTCTGCAAATTTTGTTCTTTCTTTTAGTTGTGTATCAACTCCAATATCCCATAGAATGTATAATTTATGTACATAATTATGTTGAAAAAATAATCACATATCCTTTATAATATTGCAGAGTATCTCATAGTGCTAAGGTGAATATCTACGGGCTTCCATTTATACGAGAAATGCCAAAAATTACTGGCATATCAGGGTCAGATTTAACAGTGACGTGCCCTGTAGCTGGTTATCCGATAGATAAAATTCATTGGGAGCGTGGTAATTACATTTATTTAATTTTGTTATTATCATTGCCCTTACTAATTATTAAGTTAAGATTAAAGATTTTAAAAACCTAAATCGCATAATTTGTCGAAAATTTGTAATTCAATGCCTAATATATTGTTTTATTTAAATTAAATGTTTTGCCCTAGGATTCCTTCATTGCAATTATATATTTTTCAAGTAAAGTCCGTAATAAGAAGTTTTTTGGTAGTTGCAGCATGTTTTCAAATTAACTCTGGTTTTGAAAAAAATATCTTTTGAGATGAAAAATAATATATGTATATTTTACTTAGATTAAAGGAATTGACTATGCTTAAAGTTAAAGAGGTCCCAATTTTTGAAGTGCTATATTCATTTGATATTTTCTTTAAGATATTTCTCACATTGACAGAAAAAAACTATCTCTTATGTGACAAGTTTATGAATAAATCTATTTCGCCCCTTTGCTTAGCTTTTGAGAGCTTTTCGGGACTATTAAACCTTTTTTAACATCTTTTTTTCTAATTTTTTAACTCATTGAAATTAACTGATTTAACTGTCGTAGTTGCAAGATTATAACTTTCATGCTATCGAAAGTTGAGCAAGCTCGCTAAAAGGTGGAGTTGCAGATTGCATGCATCGGAAAGCTAAAACTTTGTACTTATTTAAATGTCCACATAACTTTACCAATACCTTGTTGGAAATACTTGCAAATTTACTAAATTTTGTTTTGCATTTTTCCTATTTATTTTCAATATTGACGAAATTCAACGCGTTCATAAGATGGTCAAACACTACCTATAAATCGCAGGCAGCGCGCATACAACAACGGTACTCTAATAATAGAGCAACTGCAGCGACTAGAGGATGCAGGCACTTACACATGCATGGCTCAAAATAAGCAGAAGCAAACGTCACGCCGCAACGTGGAAATACAAGTTCTAGGTAAATATTCATTTATGGAATATATATTTTTAAAGAATATACGTTTAAGATTTTATAAAAAGCATTCGTTATTAGAATGTACCTGTACCAGCCATTTAAGCAATCCGCAATTGATATGAGTGAATTATATCATTCAACATTTTCCCATTTCTGCTTATATAAGGATCTAAAATCAATACCCACGGAATTTTTTTGTTATTTATTGACAAGCTAATAATGAAAGAGGTAGTATTGTTACCTGTTACGGTTTTCATCTCAACTGCATTCTGGTTGATGTTTTCACGTTCTGTATTATCGATATCAACTAAATTAAAAACATTTTCGATTGAAGTGTTGTCAAACTTCAACTTTGTTGCTTGGTGCCAGTAGTAATAGAACGTTATGCAGTTTTACAAAATGTTTAAAGAAAATTACGAAAACGAGTAAATAAACTATTTGTAATCAGTTATTTTGTAGAAATATATAGAGAAAAACAAGATTACAACAAATTGTTAAGCTCGTGGATAAAAATGCGGAAACTGGACGCTTCAAGCCACAATTTATAAATAGTAAATATAAAATTAGGTGATTATTTAAAATGTTAAGAAAAATTAGCCATAATTTCCATATAGGATTCACGGCCATTCCTCGTACACGTGAAAATGTTCCTTATTTTAACGGAAATAACTTAAGAATCTGCTATTTAAAAACCTTTTAACTGTCAATAAAACTCTATTTACTAGGTGCTAATAAGTTCCCTATGAATTTTAGTGACCACCAAGGTTTTTCGAATGAGTAGCAGATCAGTTTTGGCGCCAATATTTCTGTAATTGTAATATAAATCAAAGTGGTGTTCATATTTATATTTATTCACTATTTAGTAAGCAATAACTGATTTGAATTGTCTAATTTTTTCAGCCGCTTAATTACCACCTTAGCAACATTAATCTAGGTTTGCAACAAAACTTCTACTAAACTTAGTTCAAGGTTGATTGATCCAAACTTTTTTTTTTTCATTATGGTTGAAGTTTTGAAATTCGGTATTATGCTTATCAACTCATCCCGTCAGAACTAATGTCGGTTGAAGTGTTGTCAAACTTCAACTTCTTTTGGTATTGCGATTTTCAACTCTGTGCCAGTGGGGTTGACTAGAGTATTAGAAAATGTCAACTGTTATAGTCGACCAAAATTAGTTGAAGTTTGGTTGATCCAAATTTTTTTATATTCCTTTTACGGTTTTCAACTCAACTGCATTTTGGTAGAAGTTTTAAAATTCGGTATTATGGCTATCAACTCATCCGTCAAAACAAAAAAAAATGTATTCGAGTAAAATCAATACAGAGGCTTTCACTTAGTTTTGAAATCATATTTCTCCGGTATCTAGGGCGCATCGCTCGACAAATAACAATTGTTCAGGACTACTATAATAGAAATAAATATTTATGTTTTCGCAGATAACGTGTTCTCGGATGTTGATTGGAGAAAGTTTTCGTGGTTTTTCCTCCTCTTCAGCATCTGAATCCAATTACACATCTTCTGATTCCGCTTGCTGTTTTTCAATGAACGTCAAGAGAGCTCGCGTCACGATTGAATTCGATTTGGATGAGAGATATAGACTAATTTGTCTTAGTGATGAGAAAGTGGATCTTCCATGGATTAACTGAGGCAGTGTTGAGACAATTCGTGATCAGTGGCTACCATCACTTTCTTTCTCGTATGTCCATTCGGTAGTTTGAGACTGCATTGTTGTACAAATCTACTTCTCCCATATGGTCGTTGTATTCGCAAATAATTCGATGTGGAGGGATTTTGATTTTATTTTTTCTGCCGAATACCGGGAAGCTTTTTGTGTTGTCTCAGCTTCGATGAAGTTTGAAGCGAGTGTCACTATAGAATTGTCCATTCAGCGACAGACAAATATCTTGTTGGTGTTTTCGAAACACGTGTTGTACGAATGTTTCTTTAATTTTGTCCGTGTTGCTAGTACATTGTTCGCTGCTCTCAGCCGGCTTGATCTCACAGTGCCGATTTCCCAAATCTCGGAATAATATTATGTAAAAAAGTCGTTCATGTAAAACAAATGAATCTCCGGATCTTCGATGGAGTCGATCATAGAGAAAATTACCGACGCACCGAATCTCACATTTTTATTGTATGAACTCCCATTACTAGCGTACAGAATGCCATTGAAAAGAAATCCTGAATCGAAATAGAGACACCACAGTTTGAAGCCGAAGCGAATTTGATTCCCTCTTATGAACATTTTGCAGTTGTGACGCCCAAAATACGAAATCATCTGTTCATCAAATGCGTAGCAAAAATCCTCACTTCTTGTATTTAGTGTTTAATATCATAAATCCATCAGAGGTCGAACTTTGCCAAATCTGTCTAACTTGTCTACGCTATGTTGTCCATCAGATGCAATATCGATTTTAGTATACGAAAAGAGCGTCGAGTCACTGAAAAGAAAAATATTAGAAATGAAGTATCTCTTTACGATGGCAACGTTTTCATCGAATTTCAATTTGTATTCGGTAATGCCACCCACAATAAAATTCTATTTCGATATTCATGAGAAAAAATCATTAAACTTGACGAAGAGAAATGATAAAGAATAGAAAATATAAAAACAGTTCTGGTGTCTTTCCCTCGTCAATGGACCAGAAAAGTCTTGTTCAGTCGATTCATAATTTAAATCAATTTAACTAGCGACTTCGAGAGTAGTATTAACGTCGTCAGCGATATTTACATCATCAATTTTCTCTTCATCGCTCAATGCATCAGTTGACGGAGGGAAGTAAATAATTCTCGTTTTCTCATTAAACATTGTCCTTTCTTCTTCATTTTCACTTTCACTGCACTGATCTGTGATGTTGGTCAGTTCTCTCTGACAACGGAAAGATCTCGTCCCCATTTTGCACACGTAGGAATATTATAACATATAACATGTATAAAAAGTTACATAACCGACAAGTCGACCCTCGACATTGGTAACAACCATAAACGATATCGAAAGCGACCCGCCCAAGTGTTGCTCTACTTGTAGTGTAATACGAATAAAGGTAGCAAAAAATGTAGACTTCTCAAGAAAACAAAAAAATTAATCATTAAAAACTAAAAATATAACAAGTGACGTATAAAAAATGCACCAAAGAAACACAATGGAAAGTAGAATTTACTTGTCGAGCAACGCGCCAACGTTGCGTACACGCAACAAAGATTCGAGACTTATCTAGAAAACGCATAATGACACTCAGATAATTCATGAACAAATTATAATTTATCCTTGCCTTTTCGTGTACGAATTTTCATGTCGAACAGAAAAAGAATTTACGTTTGACAATTTTGTAGGGGGTTGAGATATGGAAGAGGTAAAAGCTTAAGGATATACCTTTTAAACAAAAACATTTACCGCGATACTTCACACGCACGGCCCATAGTATTTTTTGAAAAGTAGCGTTGCGTATATGCAACAGAGGAAGGAAATGGGTTAAACGAAAGTAACTTATGAATCCGCAACAAACATTATTTAAAAGCCATTTAATTGTCGATAAAACTTTGGTTTACTTGGTGTTAGGAAGTTCTAAAGGATTTAAGTGTTCATGGAGGTTTTTTCTTATGCGCAGCACAACGGTTTTGGCTCTCACATTTTTTTGATCGTAATATAAATATAAAATCGTGAGCAACACCAATAAAACTTCTATTGAAAATAGTTGAAGTTCGTAATACTAAAAAATAGTTGGGTTGCCTGGAGTTGAATTGCTTCGAATTCAATTCAACTGAGTGGAGTTGAAAACCACAAGTGGGGTATTAACTTCATTCAATTCAACTGAGTGGAGTTGCAAGCCGTAATAAGAGTATAAATCTAAGACTAAAGTTATAAAACATAAGATCCAGGTTTTTTCTCTGCAGCTGTTGAAAACTTAGTTATTAATAAAACAGTGAATATAAAATCACAAAATTATGTTTCCATCATATAACAGTTCGCACAATTTGAGACAGCACATCCGAATCGAAGTAAGGTTCCAGAATCCCATAGTCACTGGTATTTCATCATTGTGTAGTAATATTTGGTAGGAGCAAGGTGCTTAATTATTACAAAAATACGAATATTCATTTATATATTTATGCCTTTGTACTCAATAATAGAGTTATAGTTTCCAACTAAACGTCACCAGAGCATAAATATTGTATATATTTAGCCACATATGTATATATTTTGTTTTTATGTAGTTCCCCCAAAAATAATGCCAATTCAAGCAATGACGAATATGTTGCGTGAAGGAATGCGGGCCGCGATTTCATGTCAAATACTGGAGGGAGATTTGCCAGTGAGTTTTCGATGGGAGCGTAGTGGAAAACCATTAATAGGAACAGGGTAAGTTTAATAATATTTAAATTTTTTCAAAATTTTGCGATACCAAATGCTTTAACTTGTTTGAAGGAATGAGGTATTTCGTCGATTAGATGAATACTCTGCCAGTTTAGTGATAGAACATATTACCTCTGAGCACTCGGGCAACTATACATGTATTGCCAGTAATGTTGCCGGATTGGAACGCTTCACAGTGCCGCTTACAGTTAATGTCCCTCCAAAGTGGATATTGGAGCCAAAAGACTCCAGCGCGCAGGCTGGACAAGATGTTTTACTTCATTGTCAGTCCTCTGGTTATCCGAAACCAACAATTACATGGAAAAAGGCAATTGGTCCGACTCCGGGAGAATATAAAGACTTTTTATATGAACCTACTGTACAACTCTTTCCGAATGGTACGATATACTTTAAGAAGATAAACAAGGATTCACAGGGTCACTTTCTCTGTGAGTCAAAAAACAACATCGGTTCAGGTGTCAGCAAAGTAATTTTTCTAAAAGTGAACGGTAGGTTAAAATTTTATTTGTTCTTTAAACACTTCATGAAAATATATTTTTTTAAATAGTGTTTAATTTTTTTTCGTAATTTGTTTGCAAATAACTTTTAAAATATTAACTATGTGTATTGATTTGTTCTTATAATTCTACCAATATTTTATCAAATTATACCTAAACGTTATTTTTTATTAGAAGTTAATATTTTCACTTTATACGAATTTTTGTACCCAATTGAGTTTCTGTAAATTACTTTAAAAAATGTTTCTAAAAAATTTAAACCCAGATACGTTATTTGCCTTCTTCACTCTCAATAGAAATTACGAATGGGTAATAAAAATGCCGCATAGTACACAGGAAACATCCATTAAAATTGCGTTATATGTAAACTAAGCGATCGCTAAAATAGTATCAATATTGTTATACTCGTGCGTCAAATCAAAAATTAAATAAATATGTATTAAATTATACATGTGTATTATCCTTGTAATACAATATCATATTTAGCTTCAAAATGAGAATCTTCATTGCAACCGTCCATATAACATTATAAATCTTGGCTTTTCTTGCGGATTGTCTAAGTTGTATTGTTTTTCATGCTAAATTCTTTTTATTAGGAAGAACTTGCAAGCATTCAAATTTAGATTGAATAATGAAAGATATATGAAACAACAATTTTTTTAAAATGAAATAAGCAATACACTCGGTGCCAAAGTTATTTTGTAAAATATAGTTCGCGCAGTCAGTGCCTGCTATGCTCACGGGGTTAGTTGTAAAAATATAGCATTATTAAATAAGGTCACGGCTTAACTTGACAGAAATTAAAAATAAAAAAAAAACCGTAATCATTCTTACCTAAAAATCACGTAATAATGATTATACACTGTGTTTTACGATTTTCTCCGCCAATAATGATTAGTTTTGATTAATTTTATAATAAATCTTAATTAATCATTAACAGCAAAAAAATTAAAATCATAAATTATGATTATTTATTAAATTAAACTTGAACTAAATTCTTGCTTTATTTACAATTTAGATCTAAAAGTGAATTTTATTTTGAGCAAAAAAAAAAGAATAAAAAACACATATAATCATTATATACGACCTTTATTTTTTGTGCTCAAAAATAGTGACTATATATGATTTATCATAAAATTAATAATTTTCAGTGAAGAACATTGTAAAAATCTGAAATTAATCAATCATCATGGAAATACTTAGATCGTCGAAAAAATAACTATCATGAAATAATCTGTTTTTTTTTTGTATGTCTATTCTAAGTTATTGATTTTTTCATCCAATTTTGAAATCACAAAAATAATCATTAACATACACTTGCTCACATATACATACTAATATATAGTATATGTAAATCAAATAGTTTATTAAATTTTTAATTAGAATAGCGTTAAAGTATTAAATAATTTTATAATTTTAGTACCCGCTCACTTTCAAACCAAAACTAAGCAGATTTCAGTTGCGAAAGGAAAACAGGTGCACATTCAATGTAATGTTCAGGGTGATAATCCTATCGACATCAAATGGAAAATACATGCAACACAACAATATTTGGATGAATCACTCGATTCCAGGTAAATTAAGAAAATGAAAATTATATGGTTGCTACTTATTAATAATTTTTAAAAACGCTGCCTTACAAATATTTTACGATTTTCTCCTGAAATAAATATATTTCCTCGTAAAATTACTTACACTTGTGTAATTTATATCCGTCGTGTCTAAGTTCTTTGTGAGGTGCCACTAAAATTAATGTTCCTTACGACTTCGATAGTTTAATCTTGCTGTTATTCCTTCACACAATTAATTTTTGGTATTCTTTGGTCTAGTTTTTTCGTGAACAAAAGAATCTCTTTATGGCACAAGTGTTTCACTTGTCTACAAAATTATTGCTAAGGGTTTGATAATTCCTTTTTTCCCTGCGACTACATTGTTCCTATCAATAAAAGTAACGTTTTCTTCTGTAAAGATAATTCGGAATTTTGAGAGTTTGGTTAATTTCATCGCATTGATAAATCTCAGAATAAAAATAGAGAAATTATTTAGGTTTTGATATATATTATATGAGTAATGACATCGGATGGGGCGCATATTTGGTATGAATAAAGATGAAACAATAGATGTAGGATAAGCGTTTCTAATAAAACACACAATTTACAATACTTAATTTAAAGCAATTATGCATTTAAAATATTAAACCGCTTACTTTACATTCGTAGTGGCCCGTGACCGTGCTCTAACCCCAGTCATATCAACTTGTCCCTAGTGAAGTATCAAATATTTTTATTTACTGCCTATCCACACGATCCCTAATTAAAAAAATTAATATAATAAAAAGGGCCAAGATAACGAGGGGAATTGATTTCATGATGTACGTCTGTCCGTCCTTCTGTTCACTTAAAACATATCGAGATAGATATAGCGTTATATGTATGTATCAAAATGATCAAGCTTTCTCTGAATTTTTACAAACTGAATTACAAAATTGTTAACGCTAAATCTTTCATGGTTATTCATGGATTTTTCATTCAGGTACACAATTCGAGATCAGATATTAGATGATGGGATGGTCTCAGAATTAGGCATTTCACATACATATCGGCAAGATACTGGTATTTATATATGTCAAGCTAGCAATGCATTTGGTCAGGTAAGTGTTATGCAATTTAAATCTTCAAATGTGTTTCTAGAGCTAATTAGTGTATATCATTATTTATTTGTATATTCTGAGCTATATGGTATATTAAGTACAAAAACAACCACAAAGTATTTTTTCAGAACGTCTGTACTTAGTGTATAAAGATGATTGAATTTTCTTAGATTTATGTCAGTTTGTGTTATTTCACACTGACTGGAAAACAACATTTAAATTAAAATTATTATTTTCTTACAGGATGAAATGTCGATTCAGTTAATTGTACAGGAAGTTCCAGAGCAACCGAAAAATCTGCGTATTAACTCACAACAATCCCGCAGTCTGCAACTTACATGGAGTCAGCCCTTCGCTGGAAACAGTCCAATCGAAGGATATCATATATATTATAAACAAATTTCTGGTATGTGAAAGTATCTTTAACAATGTAAAACAATAATTTAAAATAAGTTTTGGTATTAGTAGTAGAAAAGATGAGAATAGCTGCAAGTTTAAGACCGTATTTTTAAATTGTTCAAATATGATTTGTTAGTTTATGGTATTGGTCCGGTATATAGTATAAAGTAAATCGGAAGTTCAAACTCTACTATCAGGAAAAGATTCTCTCAGAGATTTTCCAATAATTTCGGTAAAAAATCAGCTAACGGCACTTAGGTCCACATATTCAACATCTGGGAGTTTGAAAAGTTATTAATGACTATAAGAGGCGCTATTTATGCAACATTATATTCCAATAACTTCATTGGTATTTGATTTATATTCTGTAAAGTGAAAGATTCATATGAAATTTAAAATGCTTATATATGGAAACTAGTGTGGTTGTTGTCCAATTTCGCCCCCGTTTCACAATGTACTTTAGTTGGGCCAAATATCCAATTTGATCAGGAAAGATTTCTACAAACTGTGCACCTAAATCGAAAAGATAAAAATATTTTTCCTAAATTGGTGAGTTTGATCTCCATATGTCAATTAGTGTTGTGTTTGGCAGTTATTTGTTTACAATGCCAAAAGTCAACCTTGGCGCGTAGTCATAATATTTCAGTTTCGAAAACAGAAAAAAGTCACAGAGAGCCAAATCTGGCAAATCTGGCAAATACGGTGACTGAGCGATGTCTCTCATTTTGTGTTTGGCAAAAAAGTTAATCACTATCAGGTCAAGTCCAGCATTAACACGCTTAATATCCCAAACATTAACCAAAATGATTGAATCGAACCATAAGAGATGTTGAGATCCTCTGCTATATCTCTGATGCCAACACGACGATTTTCAAGCACTGTTTATTTAACGTTTTCGATGTTATCATCATTGACAGAGTTGGCTGGACAACTCGCATGAGGTAAATTTTCGATGAAATTCTCGACCTTCACTGAATGATTTGTTCCATGAGTTATCTCACAAACCACTAAAGCTAATTTTGCTTTGAAGAAGTATTCTAACATTTCTTCATACACTGTGAAAATGGGTGAAATAAGATGATAACCACGCCCACTCCCCATATAACTACGTTGAAAACTACGATAACTCAATAAATCAATGCGTCAGAGATATCGGACTACAACCACATCCATGTCCCATATAACACAATTTCAAATTTCATTTGATTCTTTTACTTTACAATATATAAATCCTACACCAATGAATACATCCGAAGAAATAAATAAGTAATATTCAAGGTATTCCATCTCTTACCCAAAACAAGTCGAAATCGGACAATAATTCAGGCCCCCCGTCCGTTTGACTTTTTACCGTATATATGGGTCAGTAAGTGTAAGTTTAAGCCATCTTAGTGAAATTCGGAGAGCGCCTTTCTATGAATCTAGCCCCCTATTCATAATGTAGTAGGTATGTAGGTAGTGTGGTTGTCTTTCGACGCACTTAGGCCGTTATAGCTTCAACACAATACGGGCGACGACGAATATTCGTTGTACTAGGCGACGCCGTCGGAAGAACACAATACGGACGATTTTCTTCGCAGCTAGTGTGTATTTCGCGCTCAAAAATATCACAATAAATAACGAAACCAAACATAAACAATCTTAATATTGCCGATGCAGACGTTTCCGTAAATTTTTTTTGCAAATTCTTAAGATTTTTACTGAAAATAATCTTTCTTTGATACGGTGATGCCGATTTTGCCGCCGCGGTCGGCGATAAAACTAGAAATAGCTCCATCTCAAAAATCGTCATGGTGGAGAAGTCCGTCGCGTATTGTGTTCATCTTCATATACAATCGTTTGTTCTTATCACCGACGGCGTCGCCGAGTACGACGAATATTCGTCGTCGCTCGTATATTGCGTTTAAGCTATTAAGAGGCCCATTGTAATCCTAATAAAGTAAATTCACAGATTAAACAAATGAGACAACTATGGTATAAATCGCTTAGACCAAATCAAAATTACATGTACACTTTCTGTAAGCTTCGCAGAAAATACCAAAATTTTAACCGATACTCCAATTTATTAACGAAACGCTGAATTAGTTTTATTATTCATTCATGTATAAAGACGTATATCCACAATATTCTGTGCAAATTTCGGCATATCAGCAAATAATTGCGGATTTCACTCATCAAACTCACAAAAAGTTATGTGCTGTTTATGGCGATGAAGCCATAAAAGAACGGCAGTGTGAAAATTGGTTTTCCAAATTTTGTTCTGGTGATTTTTCACTCAAAGATGAAAAACGCTCTGGACGTCCAGTTGAAGTTGATGACGACCTAATCAGAGTAATAATCGATTCGGATCGTCACAGTGCAACACGTGAGATTACAGAGAAGTTTGAGGTATCGCATACATGCATTGAAAATCACTTAAAACAACTTGAATACTTGTATGTTCAAAAACTCGATATATGGGTTCCTCACGAAGTGAAAGAAACGCATTTAACGCAACGCATTAATAGATGCGATTTGCTAAAGAAACGTAATGAAAATTATTAATTTTTAAAACGAATGATAACTGGCGATGATCGTGGAGCAGGCCAGGTGAACTAGCTCAAATAACATCAAAAGCTGGTATTCATCAAAAGAAGGTTTTGTTATCAGTTCGGTGGGATTATAAAAGAATTGTCTACTTTTAACTCTTACCACCCAACCGAACGATCCATTCTGTTGTCTATATTGAACAACTAACGAAATTAAACAATGCAGTTGAAGAAAAGAGGCCCGAATTGATAAATCGAAAAGGTGTTGTATTCCATCATGACAATGCATGACCACACGCATCTTTGGTCACTCCGCAAAAACTATTGGAGCTTGGTTGGGATGTTTTGCCACATCCACCATATAGTCTTGACCTTGCACCATCGGATTACTTTTTGTTTCGATCTTTACAAAACTCATTGAATGGTAAAAATTTCAATAATGATGATGATGTCAAATCGTACCTGATTCAGTTTTTTTGCTAATAAAAACCAGAAGTTTTATGAACGTGGGATTATGATGCTGCCTGAAAGATGGCAAAAGGTCATTGATCAAAATGGGTAATACATTACAGAATAAAGTTATTTAGTTCCATGAAAAAATTGTCTTTGATTCCGCAATTACTTAGTTGCCAACCCAATATAATGATAACCAGCGGTAACATAAGCATTATTAACTCTTTGAATCGCGTGAACACTTTCCTAAATATAAGGGAGCTAAAATTAATTTAAACAAGTAAGGAAGGGCTAAGTTTGGATGTAACCGAACATTTTATACTCTCGCAAAGTCAAATGGTGACTGATATTTTCGGTAGAAAGTCTACTATAGGCACTGGGGTCCACATATTCAGTACTTAGGGGCTTGAACATTTTTGGTTCGATTTAGACAATTTTTGGTCACAAGGTGGCATACTTTAAACGTATTATTCACGCAAAGTTTTACCCCGATATAATCATTGTTGCTTGATATGCATAGTGGAAAGTAAAAGAATCAGATGGAATTGAAAATGATGTTATATGGGAAATAGGCGTGGTTGTAGTCCGATTTCGCCCATTTTCGCACTAGGACATAGAAATATGAAATCGGTTAAACAGATCCCAAGATTTGGGGTTTCACCTAAAAGTGGGCTGTGCCACGCCCACTGTCTAATTTTGAACGTGGTTCCTATAAAGTCATCTCATACCCTCCCAGAGATAAAATTTAATGTCTCTGGCGTGTTTAGTGCTTGATTTATCGCGCTTTTAGTACCGTTATATGGGGAGTGGGCGGAGTTGCCACCCGATTTTAACTATTTTCACACTGTAGGTAGAGGTTCTAAAAACATTTGCTTCCAGTGAATTTTGTTATTATAGCATTAGCGGTTTAGGAGATGTGCACATTAAACCTATTAGGGGCGGGACCACGCCCACTTTAAAAAAAAATTTAACTGCAGATGCCCCTCCCTAATGTGATCCTGTGTACCAAATAACAGTCTTGTATCTTATTGCGGAGCTTAGTTATGGCAATTTATTCGGTTTTGATTAATGGCGTTTTGTGGGCGTGGCAGTAGTCCGATTTCGCCCATCTGCAATACCAACCGTATCACGGTACAAAGAAACATGTCTACCAAGTTTCATAAAGATATCTCAATTTTTACTCAAGTTACAGCTTGCACGGACGGACGGACAGACAGTCACCAGGATTTCAACACGTCTTTTCATCCTGATCATTTATATATATATAACCCTATATCTCACTCGATTAGTTTTAGGTGATACAAACAACCGTTAGGTGAACAAAACTATTATACTCTGTAGCAGCAGGTTGCGAGAGTATAAAAATATGACTCTATTTGAAAACGGCCTACCCGTTTTTTGTTTAAAAGAAACTTAATGGCATTACCAAGAGAATATACATACATAATATACATACATATGTACATACATAAGTATTCAAAGTTTCACTGGGTAGTGAAAGTGAATGAGAGGACTCCATCCTCCTCCTTGGTAGAAGCACAATGCAATGGTACACAAAAGGCTTGAAAACGGCAAATGAAATCGGAGCTGGGGTCTGCCACTGCTATGCCATTAGCATATGTGTAGAGATTATTCTAGAGAAAAACTGTCACGAGGAACAAAATATCATTTTCAGTGATTATCAAGCGGCACTTCAGGTAATCTCGTCGGTTGAAATGAAATCAATAATGGTGCTGGAGTGCATAAAAATGCATAACAGTGTTGCCACGGAATAACATTTTACTACCATTGATGCCTGGACCTGATCTGTCGAAAGAAGTTGCGGCAATCAGTCTGATGTGCCGGAACCGTTCTTGGCTGTGGGCATCTCACATTATGAGAGGAGTTATTGAGCATATACTACTTGATTGTCCTGCAATCATATGAGGAAGGAGTCAGGCTATCGGGCAAATGAATTCGGTGAGAGAACACATCACAACCATTTACTCAGGAGATTTTCTAAACTTCTTTGATTGACTAGGTTAAACGAAGTATTGTGATAACAGGAGGGGACACGGTAGACCACAGATCGCAGTGTATTTCTCAACTCTAAATATAATATATATATAATTGTAGTATTTAAGCTTAACCCCTTATTTAAACGCATCTACGTCTACAGTCACTTTTTCCTCATATTCACAATATTTTAGGTTTCACATCATTGATTGTGTTTATATCTGATATACTTGTAAGTACTACATATGTCACCCGCAATACAAATTATGGACATCGATATGTACCTTCCCACAAAACTAACATGATGAATATATAGATTTATGTTTGTTAAGTGATTATATGACGTATGTATAGTTTGTGTTAAATTCCAAATATGATTGTGATCTTTTCATAATTTCGTCGAATTAAAAATATTAAACTCTTTTTATACTCTCGCAACCTGTTGCTACAGAGTATAATAGTTTTGTTCACCTAACGGTTGTTTGTATCACCTAAAATTAATCGAGTTAGATATAGGGTTATATATATATAAATGATCAGGATGAAGAGACGAGTTGAAATCCGGGTGACTGTCTGTCCGTCCGTCCGTCTGTCCGTCCGTCTGTCCGTCTGTCCGTCCGTCCGTGCAAGCTCTAACTTGAGTAAAAATTGAGATATTTTTATGAAACTTGGTAGACATGTTTCATGGTACCGTGAGACGGTTGGTATTGCAGATGGGCGTAATCGGACCACTGCCACGCCCACAAAACGCCATTAATCAAAAACAAATAACTTGCCATAACTAAGCTCCGCAATAAGATACAAGACTGTTATTTGGTACACAGGAACCATTAGGGAGTGGCATCTGCAGTTAAAATTTTTTTTAAAAAGTGGGCGTGGTCCCGCCTCTAATAGGTTTAATGTGCATATCTCCTAAACCGCTAATGCTATAATAACAAAATTCACTGGAAGCAAATGTTTTAGCACTTCTATTGACGGTGTGAAAATAGTTGAAATCGGGTGGCAACTCCGCCCACTCCCCATATAACGGTACTGTTAAAAACTACTAAAAGCGCGATAATCAAGCACTAAACACGCCAGAGACATTTAATTTTATCTCTGAGATGGTATAAGATGACTTTATAGGAACAGCGTTCAAAATTAGACAGTGGGCGTGGCACAGCCCACTTTTAGGTGAAAACCCATATCTTGAGATCTGCTTAACCGATTTCAACCAAATTCGGTGCATAACGTTCTTTTCATGTTTCTATGTCATAGTGAATGGGCGAAATCGGATTACAACCACGCCTATTTTCCATATGACACCATTTTAAATACCACTTGATTCTTTCACTTTCCACTATGCAAATCAAGCAACAATGATTATATCGGCGTAAAACTTTGCGTGAATAATACGTTTAAAGTATGCCACCTTGTGACCAAAAATTTTCTAAATCGAACCAAAACTGTTCAAGCCCCTAAGTACTAAATATGTGGACCCCAGTGCCTATAGTTGACCTTCTACCGAAAATATCAGTCAATCCACAAAGAAATCTCAAACGAGTATACCATTTGACTTTGCGAGAGTATAAAATGTTCGTTTCATCCGAACTTAGCCCTTCCTTACTTGTTTTATATAAAGTTTTGCCAACACCTGCAAATATGACCCGGCTTTGATGTTTGGGAATTGCGAGAGTATAAAATGTTGGGGTACAACCGAACTCTTTTGAGGAGAAGTTTCGCGTCGCTTTATCCCATTAAATGTTCATTAAATTTCTAATTTGTTTAAGATATTTTTCTTATAATTAGAAATGTGCACTTTAAAGTCAACAAGTGAGATTGTAAATTCAAATATGGTTTTACAAAGGTTGAAACCTTTTTCATCTGATTCGCATGTAAAACTTAGATATCACCATCCAAAGCTAATTTTTTGGCCTGTTTATTACACTACTTTATTCATTTCCACACTATAGTATGAAATGCGTGATTCTATGGAGCTTTATGGAAATAACTTTAGTGGCTTCAAATTGGTTAAAGCTACTACGGTTGCTGCCTAACGAATAACTATAAAACCTATGGATAATTAGGAGACTAAGTACATATACAAATATGTTGATCCATTCAAAATTATAGCAATGATCATAAGAACCCTGCTTGATGCCTTATAATCTATTTGAAGTCAGGGTTGCAAATAATGCATTAAAAAATTATCGAATTAACGTTTGAGTTAAAGTTTTTTTTGTAATCCCAAACACGTGTTGAAAAAAAATTTAATCCCAAAAACCGTTTAAAAACTTGATTTTTCATTTTTAATCTCAACTACCGTATTAAAAAAAAAAAATTTAATTTCAAGCCTATAGTTAAGCATTTAAAAGAATAATTTGTTTTAGAATTAACATTTTTTCGCATTTATTGATATCAAAAAATAATATTTTAAATTTTAGTCCCAAACATCTTGGATAAAAAAATCAAAATCTAATTTTTAGTCCCAACATCGGGATTGAAAAATGAAAATCTAATTTTTAATCCCAAAGTGTTTGAATTAAAAAATTCACAACCCTGTTAGAAGTATTTAAACCAGATGGTCTTATTTCGAGGCCGCGTAAATTATTTTGGCCCATCGGTACCAAAGGTATTTCCCCTGCTTTGATTCTTTCAAGTTGCAAGAGTATAAAATGTTTGGTTACACCCAAACTTAGCGCTTCCATACTTATTTATTTTTATATTACGTCAACTATCTATAATGTCATATCCTGGAAGTCATTTTAATTAAGCGTTAAGTAACGTTGACAAATGGGCGGACTGACAGACATACATAACGGACAATTATTAATATAGATTAGGTCAAGTAAAAAGTTTGTTCGGTTTTTATCTAAGAGATGGCGTTATTGTATAGTACTAGTGTTACGTGTCATACTATACGGCGCTGAAAACGTGTTTATTCGCGCTAAAAGTTTGTCTTTGACAGTTTTTCGATTGCTTAACTCAGTACGTTGTGAGCGCTCGTCAAAGATGGACACCAGCGAAGAGAAAATTCACTATATTTTACAATTTTTCTGCGATCAAGGCGAAAAAGCAGCCAAAGCAAAGATACTGTAAACGAACGTGTAACACAAAAGTGGTTTGGTAGGTTCCGTTCCTCTAATTTCGATGTCAAAGATGCACCACGCGTCGGGAAGCCTGTCGTCGAAAATTACGATAAAATCATGGAAATAGTGGAAACAGACCGTCACGTGAGCACTTATTTAATTGCTGAGTAACGCAAAAAAAACATGATGGACCGAATTTCCATCTGCTAATCGCTGCTGAATCGCAACAAAATCGACCCGTTTCTGAAGCGGATTGTGACTGGCGATGAAAAATGGGTCACTTACAACAGCATCAAGCGCAAACGAACGTAGTCAAAGCTCCGGGAAGCGGCCCAGACGGTGGCCAAGACCGGATTGACGGCCAGGAAGGTTTTGTTGCGTGTTTGGTGGGATTGGCAAGGAATCATCTACTACGAGCTGCTCCCCTATGGCCAAACGCTCAATTCGGCCCTCTACTGGCAACAACTGGACCGCTTGAAGGCAGCACTCATTCAGAAGAGGCCATCTTTGATCAACACAGGCCGAATTGTGTTTCATCAGGACAACGCCAGGCCACACACGTCTTTGGTGACGCGCTAGAAGCTCCTGAAGCTCGGATGGGAGGTTCTACGAGAAGGGTATAATGAAGTAGGCATCTCGTTGGCAACAAGTTTACGAACAAAATGGCGCATATTTGACTTAAATCGGACAAATGTACACAAAGTTATCATCTTTTGAAAAATCAATAAAAAACCAACTTTTTACTTGACCTAATATTTCTTATCTGATGGTACAAATAACCGTTAGACGAACATAAAAATACTCTAATATATTCGGAAGAAATAATTTACTCTCTTTTACTGCGACTGTTTTTAAGTAAACAATCATTGTAAGTAATATTGTGAAAAGATCAATACATGTGCATATAGAACACCTTTAGTAATATTTTTATTCGATTGAGTTCTAATAATAGTTATTCAAACCAAAAATATATCGCACAGGCACGCATTGATTTCTTTACTTTTAACGTAATTTTAAATAAAAATATGTACATACATATGTATATAAAAGTACATTTTAATTAATTTTCCATTTTGATATTTTACATAATTAGATATTTGGCAAAATGCAGAGCATATCGCGATCACCGGTGGACAAACGGTTATTAATATACAAAACTTGCGTCCAGCTAAAGCATACCATTTTCGGATGACTTCTGAGAATAAATTGGGTGCGTCCGAGTATTCGGAGGTCGTACAAGTAACCACACTGGAGGAAGTTCCTTCGGGACCACCGTTGAATGTGAGAGCAGAGGCAAAATGTTCGACTGAGATATCGGTCACATGGGATGCGCCAGAACGCGATCATTGGAACGGAATATTGTTAGGTTACTATGTTGGATATCAGATGTCGTTGTCACCTGAAGACAAAGAAGTGAATCCTACTCAAGGGTTTAGCTTTAAAACTGTGGAAGTGCGCTCACATTTTGGAGGGGAAACTGTGTTGAGTAATTTAAATAAATATACTCAGTATCATGTTATTGTACAAGCGTACACTAGTCAGGGTAGTGGGCCACCGAGCAGAGAGATTGCAGTGCAAACAATGGAAGATGGTAAGTGAAAGAAAAAATCGTAACGGTTTGTTAAAAAATGTTGATACATTTATATATTAGTTATTTCCATATTACAATAACAGTTAAGGGTGTGCTAGGTTTAATTCAGTGGTCGTCATTTCATACAACAATTGCACAAGCTAACTTCACACCAGGGGTGATATTTGATACTTTTTAATTGTGCCGAATTTAGTCCAAAGAATATGTGAAAATGTAGTTGAGAGCGCCGAAAATAATCAAATTCGAATAATATTTTTATAAAAATGTTTTTTTTCAAACATTAACAATGTAGACGGGTTTTTAATATATATATATTATATATTAATTTGATTTTATAATACATATTTTGTATTACTACTTATGTGTATACAAAAATTAACAAATAAGTAATCAATTCATCCAGTTTTCTCCATAAGTTCATCCGTACCATCTATAGACAAAATAATGGTTAAAAATAATATGTGTATTTCAGAAATGTCCACAATTCTACAATTTATTATATAGGGTGGCTCACAAATCGTGCTACAAAAACAAACCGTAATAGCTTTTTTTCTGATTTTTGATACCGAAAAGACGGTTTGGATGGTGCAGCGATATTATGCATTGCAGCCCGTCATTTCCGTCCAAAGGGAATTCGGACGGGATTTTGGCGGCTCTTCCCCTAGTATATGGACCATTGGTAAACATGTTTGCCGAGTTTTGAAGTATCCCAAGAAAACCGTACCATCGAGATCCGTATGTTCGTGTTCAAGAAAAAATCGAGGCTGTTGCATCGTCAATTGAGGCAAATTCAAGAGTGTCGACTCACAACTTATCAGCGCAATTTGGAGTTAGCAGACGGTAATTACAACGGATAATTAATGATAACTTAAATCTGTTTCCGTACAAAGTTCAAATAACAAGCCGGTTAAACCCTCTAGATGTGCTCATTCGCCTGGAATTTTGCCAGAAAATGATTGAAACGGCCGAAGAAGATAATATATTAATATGTCTGATTAGGCTCATTTTGATCTAAATGGAAATGTAAACAAGCAAAATTGCCGTACATGCCGTGCGCAGTTTCATCAAGGTACATGTCGGGCCATACTTCCTTCAACAAAACGATGTAACAGTAACAGTCAATGGGCACCGTTATTTAAAGATGTTAACTGAGTTTTTTTACCCAGAATTGCGCCGAAGGTGTATCGCTTTCAATATCGTTTTGTTCTAGCTATATCGAGCAACTGCACACATAACCAGACCAGAATTTTTTTTATGGGATTATATCAAGCAAGAGAAGTGCGAAACAAAATCCAGAAATCTGACTGAATTGAAGCAGCCCATTAAATCGATCGTTGAGGACTTCAATCCTTCAGGCCGTTTTCTAATTAGGTCTAGCATATGCGTGGCTGAGCATGGATGTCATTTACGGTCCATAAGTTTTAAAAATAATTAATTATTTAAATAAAATAAAATTTGCACTCGATAGTTTTGTTAGTTTATTTATAGTTTTTCCCCTTGACATCTACTTACTTTACGTTGGTTTTAATTGAGCGACTTTGGCTTTGTACACTTAATACAACATACACTTTGTACACTACACACAAAAAAATTAATAAGGTTACATATACAAGTACAATTTTTCATGTTACTATATAAACTGCTCTGAGAGCTATAAAAAGAAATGTATACTTATATAAATTCGCTTAGGTTAGGTCGAAAATTCTGATTTTGTATAAATAAGTGGGGCTATGTGCGGCCGGCATTTCAAAAAATTAGAAATTCTTACTTAATTGTAAATATTTCCGTAACATTCCATCTAACACATAATGAAAGTGTAAAAAGTAGTTAAATTTAATAGCTTGTATTTTATTTCAAAAATTTTAAAGCATATTCGCGCAACCAAGCCAAGAATGAAAAATGATTTTAAGTGCATGTTATCGAAAATTAGACTTCACTTTTGATATTTCTAGAATATATCAGTATGTAGCTTTTTATGGTATATCAAGTGAAATTTTGCAATTTTATGAAAATTGTTGGCAACTCTAGTTAAGGCATAAACAACGCCGCGTATAGTCGTGTCTCTAGAGGAAATGTGCCCTGCCCGAAATTTTTGGTCAATATGAATGATATATGATATTATGAATTACATTTTGTGTTTTCCGTTACTCATAAACAATAAAACGAAGATGTTTAGGGTTGAGTATACTTATTTTAATCGTACAACGTATAAAATAAATCAGGAAGCACGAAATTACTTGTTTAAACAAAGAATAAAATATCCACAAAACAGAGTTCTCACTGGGTGTATTTAATTTCATGCTCCCCTACAAAGTCGCAGTTCCTTTCATGCCGACCACTGATTTATTAGTCTAAGGGCCAGTGGACGGCAGATTCATTTTGTCAAAGATTTTGCTTAACGATTCTCTTATACCTACATTTCATGAAATTGGAAGGCACTAAGCCCAGCGAGGGTAGCTATGACGTCGCTAAGGTAATACAGGTACGAATGAGTGTTTCAAAACACTCTGCCTCTTGGTCATATTAAAAAGTACAATGAATGCAAGGTCCATTGCATTAAATAAATAATTTTGGACGTTGCATTGATTGTACTTTTTAAAATGACCAAACAGCAGCTTTTTTTAAATACTTTCGAAACACTCATAATTTACGTACCTGTATTACTTACTACCCTCCCGATTTCATGTAGGGTAGGTATAGGAGAATATTTAAGCAAAATATCAACTTTGGTAAAATACATACAGTTTGCCGTCCACTGGCTCTTAAACTATGAGCAGCCGAACATCAGAATATTTGGGGGGGCCAAAAATGCAATTATTGAATTAAAAAACATTACTAAATCAATATCTGCCATAAATTGAACCTGATTAACAGAAAATATTATATTTCACATCTTCCTACAAATATGATATACTTAACGATACGTACGTAATAAAACCAATCTGACAGACAACAACTCAAGTCAACATAGCAATTTGGTATCAATAGAATACATATTGACATACAGCCCATCATAGGGAATATAATCTCATTATATTTGTAGGGCCTAGAGCAGTGATCGGCAGCCCATTCCCCGCGGGCACTCTCTGAGCGCGCTGCCGTAGAAGCGATGACAGTGCCAATTGCTTTCTGATTAGGTCCTAGAGAAACACTGTTTGCCCATTGCCCCATACGTCTAGTTTTATTGAAGTTTCAGGTCTACCAGAAGAGCGGAAATCATTAGATTAAGTGGCTAAAGCTTAGGTAAGGTCTGGGCCGATTACATATATTAATAATTAATCTAGTATTTAGTGCGTAACAGAACAAAGAATTGACAATATTTGAAATCAAAAGCTGTTATATATTTCCTTTTTTTCTAGTGCCTTCTTCATCTCCAGAGAGTCCTCAATGCGACGTGCTTGGATCAACTTCAATTTATATAACATGGTCACCACCAGATGTTGACGGACAAAATGGCAAGATCAAAGGATATAAAGTATTTTATATATCTGTAAATGAATTATACGGTAATTATTTTGAAACTGAAGTTATCCGATCGATATACATGCAATGAAAAGTTTTAACTGGTAAAAAATCTGCACATATGTATCTAAAAATAGCAGTAATTTTTTAAGTTCATGCATGTACATATTTATATTAAAGTTATTAACAGTTTAACAAAACAAAATTAGTATAATATTATCCATGTTATTATCTGCAGAAAAATCAATCAATATACCAATGTACGTACCTTATCATGGTAACTATTATACTCTTTTCAACAAGGTACTCAAATATAGTACCTATAAATGAAATATTGCTCTCTAATATCAGCAAAAAGGACCCTATTTTAGTTCTGGCCAAATTCTAAGCGTTTGCCATAACTCGAGTCTATAGAGTTCCATAGGGCCATATCTGACAAAGCATATAACGCTACCTGGAGAAAAGGTCGGCAAGAAAAGACAAATACCATTATTTTTTAACAAATAACTGCATTATTCAGAGTTAAACGAGTTTCCTTTAATTTAAGCTGAATTTCAACACGCGGTTCATACTTTTAACAAGTTAGTGGTCGCGAAGAGGCCTGATTTTAATTAGTTCGTGATCAAAATAACATTATAATTGCATATAAATAAACATGTGTTTACGGAATTAAGGTGGTCATATTTATGTGGATAATTGATATAATTTTATTTCCATATCAAGAAACGGATCCCGACGTTGTGAAGTCAACCAATCAATATGTTACGATAGAAAATTTACGCAAGTATACCAATTATACGGTTTGGGTACTCGCATATACCAAGATTGGAGACGGTACGAAAACGAAGCCATTTCACTGTCGTACATATGAGGATGGTAAAATATTACGATCGATATCTTTTATTTTGATTACATGATCATCTTTTTTTAATTTGTATAGTACCTTCGGCGCCACAGGCTATCAAAGCGATTCCTGCATCCAGCACAAAAATAATTATTTCTTGGCTGCCACCAGAATTTCCTAATGGAGATATTGTACAAATATTATTGTAGTTTTATCAAATGCAGATAATTTTATTTGGCTAATCCACTTTCAGACTGGCTACACTTTCTATATGTCCATGCTGGAGGGTGGTCGTGAAGAAGGCACTCACAAACGTATACTTGGCCCCTTTGTTGAAATGCACGAGACTCAACGCACACAAGAATCTGCCACTTATCAATTCTGGCTAACAGCGTCTACAAAGATTGGTGAGGGTGAAAAAACACAAGTTGTTACTGTGCCTCCGAACAACAAAGTCCCCGCTCGCATTGTATCTTTTAGTCAGCGTTTAATAAGTCCCTGGAAGGAGCATCTTGAATTACCTTGCCTCAAAGTAGGTTCCCCAGCGCCTGTCACAATTTGGAGGCAAGATGGTCATAACATGGATACGAGTTCACGCAAGGTTATTGCGAAGAATGGCACTCTTTATATACGTGAATGCCAGTCCAGCGACGCTGGTAATTATACGTGCAGTGTCGAGAATACATGGGGAAAAGATGAGATTATCTATAACATTGTTATAAAAGTACCACCAGAAGCACCCAACCTTACGGTGGTGAATAGTTATACAGATAGTTTACATCTTGAATGGATGGACAATAGTCACGGTGGAAGCCCTATTCTTGGTTATGTGATAAATTATAAACGAGAAAATGGTGACTGGGAAGAATTGCAAGTGGATGCTAAAACTAACTCACATTTATTAACAAATTTATGGTGCGGGACACGTTATCAACTCTATATAACTGCTTACAACAAGATAGGTACGGGGTTACCATGTGACATTGTGAATTCCTACACGAAAGGAAATCCACCAGTGCAACCGAAACATTCTCAAATGATTACGAACAATTCGACCAGTGTCACATGCTGGCTGGACTCATGGGGCGATGGAGGGTGTGGAATTTTATACTTCATGATTGAATCTAGGTTATTTGGGAGGTAAGTTATCAGCGGGAAGAATTACAAAAAGCGCGGAGCAAATTATGCAAATTTCTTGAACTCCAAAAAATTATTTCAGAATTTGCAGTAAATGTAGGCCGATTCCGGCTTATGCTATTGTACGTAATGTATTTTTTAACGTTATCAATATACACGATATGAAACAAAAGTTCCAAATACCGAAAATATTATTCCTAAATTATTACTTCCCAACTCTTTTACTTTAATAACATATGCAAAGAGGTAGTCACACTAAAATTCAAATTTATATTTATTAAAATTTACTTTTTTATATCAAAAGCAAAATTGTAATTAAACCTATTTTCATTTAGGACCATATATTTAAATAAAAACTTCTAAAGGTGTTGTATTCCAATATTGTATTTGCCATCAATTCACAGATCCCAATGGAATGTTATTTCAAATCATATTCCTCCGACTGAACGCATTTATACGGTTAGTGATTTAGTTCCTGGCACTAAATATCAACTAAAAGTTACGGCTCACAATAATGCTGGCTCTACAACCGCAGTTTACAATTTTACAACGCTTTCGCCACAAGGAGGTAATCACAAATTAAGGAGATTTGCTCGCTCATATATTCTTATGTAGCTTATAAATATTCGCTTTCAGTTATATATTCAACAGATCATGGGAATCCTGTATCTCATATGAGTGATGGTCCCTTTTATGCGAACTTTAAGGTGCTACTTCCTGTATGCCTTTCAATGTTTATGCTATTAGGTATAATAGCAGCTGTGCTACTTATTCGCAAACGAAGTAAGTATGGAAGCATTATTAATTTCCCGCGGCTAATCAGTTTCATATCAATAATGTTATGTTATTTAATTTTTTTTTTAATATTTAACATAATTAAATAATAATAAAACGGTTACTAATTTGCATTGAACATATTATTGAATATGTATATGGTAAATAGAGTTGATGTCTGACGACGCACCCAGGTCTTTGGGAGGCCCATTATGAAACCACCGGGACTAAAATCCTGTGCTCCTGGTGAAGATTGATGAACTTCACAACAAGTTTTATTTTTGCAACCTCCTAAACATCATTAAGAAACCCTCAACCGATAGTTCCGATTTTCCTATACAAATCTTTGCAGTCGCATAGAACATCTTCTTATATCTTCTTCTTCTACCTCTTGATAGCTTCTACAATAGTCATTGAATGGTGTTTCTAGTTTGCTGGGATGTCTGCCAATCAGACACTAAGCTCTTAGTAAAGATGGTTACTAAAAATACTTTTAATTTTTTGATATATAGTAAAAAATACTATTTTAAAAACTGTCTCAAACTGAGCACATAAAACTTTTTGAAACTTTCAAAATGCCGAGAGCCGCCTTCGGAGCGACTCAGTACCTCACCTAAAACCAAATAGATATGGTACCGTTATCTAAACGATTTTCGCCAATTCACTGACCTATCATTGACAATATGTTAATTTATCAATCTAATTTGTTCAATATTTGCTAGTTTTGCCGTACTATTCTCAATAAACTCCAGTGTTTATCACAAGTTGCCGGCATTGATATGCCTGCAATGTCTGCAAATCAATGTGGATTTAACTTTAATATGACATGGGAACAGAGTGTCCCCAGTTTGAATTATAATTCGTCTGTCAGTTCGGGTAATAAAATAGAATTGTATAAAATTAATTAGTGAAACCAAACTGTGTACTTCACAAGACCTAATAAATTAACTGCACAAAATTCACCGGCAATGACAGTAAAGTAAGTCAAGAAAAACTGATTTTTTTTTTAAATAAGCAAAAAAATGTTTTGTAAACATACCTGAAGAGAAATGTACAGCCGCAATTGCCATGGCTTGACTATAAAAATAAATTCATTGCTGTGAAACAACGCGGCTCGAAGTGTCCCTCTGCCAGTTTCCAATACTTCCAGCTGTTTTCACTCAGTTCAGCTTAATGTTCACTATCTGCTGTTCGTAAAAACAATGGCTATATAATATCTTTAATATGGCTGAATGTGATTTTATTTCCTAGTTTATTTGTTTATATTTCCGATATTTCAAATGCTTAAGTCCCAAATGAAGCTTTAAAAGTAACTAAATATTACAAAAAACAATTATGGGCTAAGGTCAAGGTCGGGTGTAATCGAATGATTTATACTCTCACAATTTGTGAGATTTAATTTAGGTGAAATATTTTCAAGTATATTATAAATGTTGAAAATTATTTCAAAATTTATCAACATAATTTGTTGATATATTCGGCATAATGTCTGCTATAATAATGAAAATCTTAATATAATGTCATTATATGGGAGCTAGAGTAATTTTGGATCGATTTCACACAATTTCGGCGTAAAACTATAGTATATCCAATATTATCCGTTCAATTAACTTTGCTAAGATATCGGTCAAACGGTTTTGTTATAAATATATATTTGATTACAGATATTTTTCATCTAACTTATCATGATGGTTTCTTTTTTTACAGAAATTGACAATCAAGCGCGTTTGGCTTCTTCCTCAATGTCCGAGTCCCCATCTATGGCCAACTTGCAAAATAAACAAAATCGAGATCAGCAGTACTTGGCCGTTCGTTGCAACCCTGGTAGTGGACCAACTCGTGGTTCGCATTCTAACGACTCAGGTAGTTTTGGCAAAGCTGAAGGCAATGAATACATAGAAGATATCTGTCCATATGCAACATTCCAACTAAATAAACAAACATACAGCGAAAGCTCGTATAGCGGAAATGTATACAGTGGACCATACCACTCTGTGCGAGGTTCATTTGTGTATCACGATGTAAAGCCAGATAATTATCATGTGAGTAATTTTTTTCACGCTTTTTTGAGACTATATTAATGATTTAAAATCTGATAGTCGAAAGAGCCGGAGTATACAAAGGTGCGTCGGAAAGTAGGTCGTTTACGTGATCCGCATTCCGAAAGTCAAGGTCAGTTTGCGACAACTAGTTTATCTTCATTTTCTATATCTAATATTTACTAAGGCTATAATTAGAATTAAATTTCATATAATTTTGATAATATTGTATTATAATAGGTAAACATTCATGATCGTCAAACGGGTTATCAATCAATTCAATAGTGTATAGTATCGGTTTTGTTAACCTTCATTTGCTCCACAGAAAAACTTACGTTTTTTACCCTCCTGTGTAGATTTCTACACATATGAAATTTTCAGTGTTATGGAGTAAAAACCCATTTTATTTATTTACAGAGAGCTTTTTTACAAAAACCAACATATGTTTTCATGAATGTTATTTTTGAACAATTTTCATAACAAATATAACATTTTGAACTTCTTTTTATTGACGCTCGAACGCGTTTTGATGTATAATATATTGAGATATATATAATAGTCAGTAAAGACGACGGCGCTGATGATCTTGGTATTCCCCTTCTGGCTAACATGTATGGTTTAGCTAGTGAAAAAGCAAGCTTTCATAGAAACTTTTTTCTAATGGTTGTGTTCTAATATTTTTGCCGATTTTAGACAATGTCGAGACAGTAAAAAAACGTACATACATACATACATAAACAAACACATAAAATTATTTGCATTTACATGCATACATAAATAAATGTACGCATTGATATAGTAGTGTTCTAAAAATACATTAGGCGTTATAATTCGGTGCATTTGAAATCAGAGAACGTATATCATAGAGAAGGTTCAATTGCGGACCAGCGTGTGAATTGTCAAAACCTAACAAGATTTTAATAGAGGATTTCACCACTTTTGGCTCGGAAGGAGAAATTTTAACAGTGGAGAGTGAACAGAGCTGAGCATTGTATGAAAATTATGCTCAGAGACTTGCTTCGATATTACAGCTGCATGTTAGCCTTTTGGCTTATATTTTTATACGTTTATATGCAATCATATTTATTGATATAAATAACATTTTACGAATTTTTATGAATGCATGCAAAACTGATAAGATCTTTTAAATTATGAAATTTCGAAATAATATTTATAGTCAATTTGGGCATTTAATAATTTTATTTAGTTTTTACCTAATATACATTCCTAATAAATATTTAATATTATAATAATAGAGATTAAATTTATTGCAATATATGTATGTATGTACATCTTTTATCATATTAATCTTATATAGTCATATGTATGTACGTATGTATTTGAATGTACGCATTCAGAAAGTCAAATCATGATTTTATCACTTATCAATACACTATATGTGCCCGCATTGATTTATATGTACACGCATATATCTACATAAAATTGCCGAACAAATAATGCATACACAAACCAACCTACATATGTGTGTGCGAACACATGTAAATATGTCACCCGCAAAAACTACAAACATTGTTCTACAAAAACAACAATCGTCACAAGTCAATATGTCAGCCAAATAGGCGAAGCCCAAATTTATAGTAAATTACACAACAACAACATTTTCATTCAGGAATGCAGGCGTACTTTCAACAAGCAACCTCGCTTCATTCATAAAAACAGACACCCTCTCATCTCCCCGAGCATGCGTTTGCCTACAAGCTTCTTTTCGCGACGATGGCAAAAGCTAAAAATCATAAATTGAACAAATTTCTGATATTCCCTCTGGAAGGGAAAAGTTGCAACCATGCAAGCCCACAAAACACAGAAAAAATTGACAAAACTGGCAACAAAGCTTTTGTCCATTTAAAATATTTTACAATTTTAAAATATTTTTCCGTGTCTCACAAAAATTTGCGTCAATATGTATGCATGCTCATATATAAACATACATATTTACGATGATTTGTGGGCAAAGCTGTTAGAGCGGCAAGGGAAGCGGTGACAATCGGCGGCCGTTCGTTAATATTTTTTCGGCACCAGCTCGGATTTTCTACCAACAACACAATGTTGTGACGCTTTGTCGTCGCGTCAGTCCTTCGACACAGTGACTCTTTGACAAGAAAACAAAAAACGTGAGCTTCGGCCATTGGTTGTCCGTGGCAACGGAGATTTCGCATGAAACAATGAGTGTACATATTTACATACATACGTTGCATATAGACAAATTAACAATTATAATGGGTACTTTCATATTTGTTTACATGCACACATAATTATACATATACTTACATATATATGTATAAGAATATTTGCGACCGCTTGGTCTTTTCTTATAGGGTTATATCAAGCAAGAGGAGTACAAAATCAAACCCAGAAATCTGACTGAACTGAAGCAGTCCATTAAATAGATATTTGAGGCAATCCCGACTTGAACCCTCCAGCCCGCATTAATTTTCTAATTAGCTGTCCAATATGCATGGCTGAGCATGGAGGAATAATTAATTGTATAAAATAAAATTAAAATTTTCTATACAATACAACAAAGTTTGATAAAAAGAAACTTATTACGGTTAATTTTTGTAGCACGATTCGTGAACCGCCCTGTATATGCATAATATCTTAAAATTATATGCAAAGTCGTTTGCGCATTGTAAATATACGAATTTGTAAGCGTACATTTCTTAACATTGAATTTGCTTATTTTTCTCATTTAACATTCAAAATGCTCAATTCTGCTATTTTGCGCTCCGCAGGGGTAAAATTTTGGTGAAATCCGCTTATAATTTGTTTGAGGTGAGATCCTCTTAAGTTGGCGAGTAACCCTCCGTCAAGAGGAACATTTTGACAATCGGCACACCATGAACCTTCTCTATGATATACGTTCTCTGATTACAACGACAACAAATGCATTTACAACTCTGCGCTGCGCTCTTTTTTCTGCTCGTCTGGTCAACCACATTTGGTTTTCATATGAAATTCCTTTTCGCAAAAGCGCGAGGAGGATAATGGTTGGCTGACAAAAATGAATGAATTTCATTTAGTAAAATTGGACAAATCAGCCAAAATTTCAATTTTATAATCAATTGTAAGTCCTCTAACTATAGTACTCTATAATTGTTGGCAGCTTCTTAGGATATTACATTTGTTTTTTCTACCAATGTACTAAACTAAGACCGTGTCTTGCGTGAAGGCAAACATTTTTATATTCCAGAAGCTTGGAGGTCCAAATTACTCGTCTATTATCATTCATAAGGATTTAGTACTCTACAAATAAACGATACGAATGCTTTAGAATTATATTCTTAATACGTGGTGGGGAAAAAAGAAGAAAGACATCCTTAATGTACATAATTCACACCGTCTTGAAATCGTCCATATTGGCAGGTACAGCGCTCTGATTGTCAACAATATCTATTTTAGAAACATAAGGAGGATCTAAATTTGCACTGGCTGAATCATAAGCTCTTGGTTGGTAAAAAAGTGGATATAAAAGTTAAAAATATATGGGCATATTTCCTTATAAATCAAAGAAGCACACACTTTAAATATTTGAATTTTTGAATTTTAAATGCAAATATCTCAAAAACCATAAGTCAGCAGCAACCATATTTTAACCCCGAATTCGGGGGATGCTGTTCTAAAATTTACCCAAAAACGTTGGGTTCCACTGATTTTTTTATACGCTAATTTTATTTAGCTGCTTGAAATATAAATCAGAAAATTGTCGGCTACATGCAATAAAAACAACATAAATATAACTCTCTAATCCAAAACATGAGTTTTCGCACATGTGTAGAAATTTACACACAAGGGAACCAACATAGTTGTTTTAATAAATACCTAAAATTGCATGTTATACTCTTGCAAGATGCTGCTACAGAGTATAATAGTTTCGTTCACCTAACGGTTGTTTGTACCACCTAAAAATAATTAATAGGGTTATATACATGCATATATAAGGTAATAAAACGAGTTGAAATCCGAGTGACTGTCTGTCTGTTCGTCCGTGGAAGCGATAGCTTCAGTAAAAATTGAAATGTCTTATGAAACACGCGTTGCTAGCCAAAAAAAATGAGGACCAGTTCGTACTTGGGCGTAATCAGACCACTGCTACGCCCACAAAAACGCCATTAATCTAAAACCTATAAATTGCCAAAACTAAGCCGAAAATTAAGATACAAAACCTAAATCGTATAACGATTCGCAAAAATGAGGGGAACCTATGGTTTCAACATTTTTTAAAAGTGAGATGTGAGTCAAGAACTTTTTTTAATTGGATTAACGGTTTTCGAAATAAATGCAAATAAAGGTTGCGTATGTGTAGTTCTCTACACAAGGAGCAAATGAAGTTTAATTTTATTTTATAATTTAATTGTACCAAGCTTTTCACTTTAATTTATTGCAACTTCTCATAATCTTATATGTGCTTGAGCTTTAGTTAATTATATAATATTACTAGACATAATTACTGGTCACCATCCATTATTCTTTAACAAACCACTTGTTTTTGAAATATATTGCCCAGAGTATACCATAAAAGCTGTATCCACCTAATGTAATTTCTGGATGTCTGCCTGTATGTCCGACCGTCTGTCGGATGTATAGATAATTTAATTAAAACTTCTTCTACGTATTCTTTGGTATTACTTCTATTCTTAAAAGTGGGCAAGTCAGCCTCTGTTTAATGCACATATGTATGTACAAGTATATCGCAAACTATTAAAGCTAAGTCAATTTCATTTTCAGTTTTATTTTTGCGCAGCGAATGCTATTTTAATTTTGAATAAAAGCCACTTATGCTTTCATAAGATTTTGTCTTCAAAACATTAATCAAAATAATTAAAAATAAATTATAAATAAATATAATATAAAAGAAAACTTAATTTATAATTAATTTCCCTTTATAAGTTATAGAAAATTTTGCGTTGTTTGTGACGTTTTTATTTTTAACATGACTGCATTTATCTGCGCAGACAAGCGACTTCACATAACCTACAAAAATCGTGCGATCTTGGAGGCCACGCGTAACAGCTATCAAAAAGACCAACTTCGTAAAAAGTATTGCCTCATTGAAAACCACACGTATAAGAAAACGCCTATTAAACTGGGTATTATAGAGTTTTAATTTTTTTTTTTTTTTAAGATAACTATTTGTTGGCGAATCGAAGACACTAAAAAAACGATTTTATATATCCTTTAATATAAGTGGGAACTAATTTTTTTCTTTGTAGAAAATTTAGATGTGTATGCTATATGTTTGGTGTGACAGTTATAGACTGATTATTCTTAATTAAAAACGTAATGTTTTTTTTTCATTAATATTTTTTGACAATCCTAGTAAAATTATAAATAATCGTTTTAGTTGGAACCGAAGGTTTAGAAAATATTTTGCACATTATTTTCATATAAAAACTGAACTAAAAAGACGGGGACTAGTAATACCTACCACAGGAATAGTTGAGTGGCACACGTATACACTCTCAAAAACTAAATCCTTTGAACGTGTAAGTTTGTCGACCACTACTTTAGAGTATCAATATTAAACGAAGTGTAGGTAAATCAAAACCCCAAGCGGTCTTTGGCAAAGGATAAATAGATTAAAAATATTTGCTTAAAGGCATTATTATATATTATAATATAATATTAGCTATAACATCTCCTTAGACAAAATAACACAAAAATTTATATTAAAACTATAACAAACAACCTTTGTTTTTTCCCACAAAATGCAATATGTTAAAATAGTTGCTCTTGTATATTCTCAGTTTAATAAATTTTATATTCTTTTATTTCAACCGATATTAAAAAATAAAAAAACTTAACAATCATCCACATTCAACTTCATCTAAAAACAAAATCCATCAAACCGTACTAAACTTTTTAGAATCGGACAATCCAGGTTCAACAGATTCCGAAGTTAGGAAAATCCTAACTCTTCACATACCAATTACAGAATATGACACATTAGGATCCGAGTCCGACAACGATGTATCTACCCGAGCAATCAACTCTGCGAAGTATCGTACTCAACGTGGTAATAAGAACAACTTTTTGAACTATTTAATTATCAATAATGGTGTCCTCATCAAACATACTAAAAACAAAAACAGATTAATAAACTCGTATAACACATTTGTATACATAGCTTAAATAAGTATTAAAAATCAAGTTATTATTTTTTTGTTTGCAAAAAATATTAAGCAATATTTTCAAACTTACAAATCAGCAGTATTAATCTTTACATACTTATTAATATCTTCACAGAATAATTAAGGTTTAAACTCGTCCCGGTTAATTGTGACACATTTCATAAACATTAAATAATCATATTTTTCACACATGGAATCTCTTTGGGACACCATTATAGTTTTTGAAACTATATTCTAGATCTTATGATTTATATAAATATATACACATATATATAGATACTCAAGATGAAACATCTTCATCGTCCGAAACAACACCGACAAGTTTATCGAGGAAATCGAAACCCCCATTTGTAGCTCGCAAGAGCGGAAAATCAGGCACAAGTGGCAAACGCCATGTGCGAAGCTCCAGCGGTTATTCAAGTCACAACGAAGAAACTACGTTTAGGTAAAACCTAATATACATACTTGTATTCTTTACCTGAAAGCTTAATATTTTTCTTTTTGTAAACATTCTCAGCATATCCAACTATCCACAAAATTATCAGGACCATATAAATCCACCAGCGCGGTTTTCTGACTCTAATGACAAGTCCAAAGCTCAAACTTCACCTCGGGTACGCGGCAATCAAAAACTACAAAGAGAAGCCTTTCAAATTAATGTGTAACAACAACCGACTAAAACAGTGCTGTTATACGAAGAGAAATATACATAGTGAACATTGCCAAATATTTACCAAATCGGAATGTGAATCTTCTTTACATACTTCTTAAGGTCACCTAATAAAACGAAATTCTATTTTGTAATTTTTTCTCGGTTTTTAACCCGTATTTCTCAATTTCCGTTATTATATAATATAATATTATAGATTAGAAAATTTAAAAACAATTTAGAACTCATTTAATTACATATGTACAAAAAATAACAAAAGTTTGATAATTATTTTTAAAAATATCCTGAACTTATATTACAGACTATATCACTTATATACACATATACAATAAAAATAATGGTTACGTCAAATGTTTAAGTGAAAATGCGACAGTGTATATAATAGTATTACATATGTATGCAATAAGTCAATGTCATTCTTAATATTTATTTTAGTTTTAATTACAAGAAAATCTAATTACGCAAATGCATATACATATATATTCTGGATAACACAAACGAATTTTCTGTTAAGCAAATGTTTTCATTTAATCAGCTCATAGTGAACAACTTTTTGTATAAGCTCGATTCATTGAAAATGGATAAAAATAAATATAAATCACAAAAAGACTTATTTACACCAGCAACTTAACATAACTATAAAAATATATATAGTATAACATAGTTATTATAATATTTATTACAGTTTATATTATTCTTTAATGTTTTTTACTAAGTAGATATTATAATTTTTCCTATTAAAACATTAGCATAAGCAAATAAGATAATAATTATTGTTAAAGTTGTGACTATACAAACTTTCCGGAGAGTTGCAATATACATATACATTGTTATAAATTGGGCCCTTACTTACCTAATACATACATATATATGTATATATATATATATATATATAGATATATATGAAATATATATATAGGTGTATATTTTAATTATTCCTTTGATCATTTTAAAAAACTATGAAAATTTTTGGCCCTCATTATGAGTTGCATTTGTACGGCGATTGTCGATGGTGAGAAAATAAATTTAAATATATCTTTATACTTTTGCAACACAGCAAAACAACAACAATATTATACAGAGTATAATAGTTTTGTTCACATAACGGTTGTTTATATCACCTAAAACTAATCGAGATAGATATGAAGGTATAAGTATATATTATATATAAATGATCAGGATGACAAGACTAGTTAAATTCCGAGTTACTGGCTGTCTGTCCGTCTGTGCAAGCGATAACTTGAGTAAAATTTAGATATCTTAATAAAACTTGGCACACGTTTTCCTTGGTGGAAAAGTGAGAACGAGTTCGTAGATTGGCGTAATCAAACCACTGCCATGCCCACAAAACAACATTAATCGAAAACCTATAAATTGCCATAACTAAGCCGCAAAATATTATATTAAACCGTAATTTGGTACAACGAATAGCAATAATGAGTGGCATCTGGTGATTTAAATTTTTTGTTAACTTCGCCCTTTAATAGTTTTAATAAGTATTACTCCCAAACTATTCAACCTATATCATCCAAATTTGCACATACCATTCGACACCTCTTGCGGCAGCATGAAAAAAGGTCTCCATACAACGGTTTTGTTAAAAACTACTAAATGTGCGATAAATCAATAACGAAATGCGGCAGAGACGTTAATTTTTACATCTGCCCCACAGCCCACACTGAATCCTGAAATCCCATATCTCCGAACGTACTGCACCAATTTCAACCAAATTTGATACATAAGATTATTTGATATTCCCATGTAACAGTGCGAAAATGGGCCTTTATCATATATAACATATTTTTATATAAATAACACAATTTTAAAATCCGTTCTGGTTTTTTTTACTTATTTTTCACAGCTTATTTGATACAGCAGTCGATATAAGTTTCGAATCCTAATATTTTTTAAACTGAAAGGAATATTGAAAAAATTTAAACGCTATATTATAGAGTAAAGAATTTTACATATATAATCTACTTCATTTATTTAAAAAATATTTTATTTTCAAATATATGTATATAAAATTAAAATTACTGCTTAATTTCAGGTCACAGCTTATTTGATACAGTTCAATTCATTCTAAAATAACATAAACAAATCACTTTCCATTTTAATTTTAAAATTTTGTGTGAAAGCCTTTCGCCTTAACAAGAGCCTGGATCCTGGTTGGCATTGATTGGACTAACTTTTGTGTGGTTTCTAGGGTAATTTTCTGCCATTCCTCTAGTAACAACAATTGAGCAGCGTGAACTGGTCATAAACCATTTTAAAAATTGTAAATCGGTTCGAAAAATTGGTGAAATTGTGAACCTTAGTGCCTCCACTGTACATCACATCATTGAGCGATATTTACATGAAAATCGAGTGGAAAATAAAGGCAGAAGCGCGCCAAACAAAATTTTTAGTGCTACCGACGAGCGCTATATTGTTCGAAAATAAAATATTTTTTAAATAAATGAAGTAGATTATATATATGAAAATCTTTACTCTATAATATAGCGTTTAAATTTTTTCAATATTCCTTTCAGTTTAGAAAATATTAGGATTCGAAATTTATATCGACTGCTGTATCAAATAAGCTGTGACCCACTGTATATGTTTGTATTTATATATTTAGAAACTTGCTTGAAAACAAGTGCTCAAGTATACATGAGCAATGTCAAAAATTAATGCAATTAGCCTTTCCATTTCTAATATAATTTAAGTATACTTTTCGCTTTATAGTAATAAAACTAAGTGAGTCTAAAGGCTTCAAAATAAGTTAATTGGATTGCAATCCATTCACCATTTCGTTGAACAATGAAGTTGATTCTTTTCGCTACATTTCTTAATTTAAAGTTTTGCCAACATCTGAGGGTATTTCCCCGGCTCTGATCTTTGCAAGCTGCAAGAGTATGAAATGTTCGGTTACACTCGAACTTAGTCCTTCCATACTTCGTGTTGAATACTTTTTGAACTCAAGACGCTGTTACTTTAGCAGGTCTAAGGTTGGCCGTAATTGCTTTAATGATTATAAAATTTTTTTTTATCAAAAAATCACTATTTAAGTAAAAATTACCGAGTAAACTTTTTTGTATGTGACTAAATTCATACCTAATTTATTATGGCAATAAGTGATACTTAAAGTGATACAAAACTTTAAACCCTTTTTACTTCACTGTGACTTGATGTTGTAAGAAGTTAAGAAATTCCAGATCAATAATCTTTATCCCTCGTTATTTATTATCCATTGCTGACCATAAATTCAACAAAGCTGGTCTATAATAACTGAAAATCTATCAGAGATCAAAGCGGGGGAAGTATTGATATTTCAGGTGTTGACAACACTTTATTTTAAAAATGTTGCGAAAAAAAACAACATTCATTGTTCGACGAAATATATTTTACTTCCCGTCAGCGAAAATTATATTAAGATCATCCTCAAGGACCAAGGTCCATTCATATTAAGGGCTAAGCCATATAATTGTGAAGCAAGCTTGTCCACTTAAACCCGCGGATCCGATCGCGATCAAAATACGGTCAGGAATTGATTGTAATGTGATTTGTGAGGAGTAATGTATATCAGCACCCTACCCTGTTTTTCTTATAACTTACATACTGTACATAGTACAATAGTTATATTTTATAACGGTGCAAATTTTCACGTCTTTCCGTGTTGTGGTTCGGACGTTCTGGGAGTACATATCGCAAAAGTGTTTAATTTTTATAAACTTGTATAAGGAGAATATGCGATATGCGAGTTTGGTATTGTATATCCATTATTATACGTTAGTTCATTTTGCTAAGATATCTTACATTTCGACAAATATATTATATTAGGTATATGGGAGATAAGGATAGTATCGAGTTAATTTTATCTTTTTTTGTCATTACTATATACGTATGTATTATTAACAGAAAAAGATTATATCTGAGTTTCATTAAAGTACATCACATACCATCACCAATATATGCGGTATAAAGTGAACTAAAGGTTATAAAATCCTGCTACTACTTTTATGAGATCAAAGATGCACCATTATTATAAAAACAATCGCTCTATTTTATTAAGATAACTGAGATGTTTACCGCAATAAGCATATACACATAGGCATACTATTATCACAGATTGACCGATATCTTTGATATCATGTAGGAACTGGGTACCACCTATTCGGTATCTGGGGGCTTGAATATTTTTTGTCCGATTTGGACAATTTTTGGTGATATGGTGGCACTATTCCATCAAGGTTTTTCCAGATACATTGATTAGTTCTTGATTTGAATAATGGAAAGTGAAAGAAGTAGACATGGTTTCTGTCTGATTTCGTCCATTTTCGCACTGTAATGTCACAAATACGTCGAGTAGGTCCCGAGATATGGGTTTTAACCTAAATGTAGGCGGTGCCACACCCGTCGTCTAAATTCGATACCGGCTCCGTAAAGCCCTTTTGTACTATCTCGGGTGTAAAATTTTATGTCTCTTGCGCCTTATTTATTTATAGATATATCGCACTTTCATTAGTTTTTAACAAAACCGTCATATAGGGCATGGGCGGAGTTATAATCCGAATTCATCATAGTTATCATAGTTTCAATGGGCTTTTTCGGGGAGGTTGAGAAAAATGCCTTCCGGATCGGCATTGTGTCGTCACAGCAATATGTGGCACTTGCAGGTCACTAAAAAACTCTCAAGGGAATCGTCGTCTGCCCTGAGCCCGTTTTCGCATTACTTCAGGGTGGCGTTCCATATTTCTCGTCTTCCGTTTTTTTATCCGTAGTACGTTTTCTATGTAATTTTTCACGTTCTTCCAGATTTCCTCTATTTCGCTGTATTTGCCAGCGAATGCATTTGAAACATGTGTGTTTAGCGTCATCCTCGATCTCATCGTTGTATATAGAAGACATCTCTTCGACTTTTCCCATTTTATGTAGATATTTACTAAAATATCCGTACGAGGATAACATCTGTGTAGTATAAAAGTCAACCTCGCCATATTTCCAGTTGCACCATTTTTTTATGTTTCTAATTACCTAGGTCGTCCATCTACCATGACGTCCTTGCTTCCAGCGAGCTTCCATTGTTTCAAGGTATCCTTATTTATTTCTTATTTTGTGATGGTGACATTTGTTCCTTAATTCTTCAACGGCCACATTTTCTTTCATTCAAATGCTAGTAAGTCGATAGGCGTGCTTCCGCTTTTACATATACAGCTTCGCCTGAGACTGTGCGATACACCTTTAGAGCAGCTATGCGATACACTTTTTCTAGAGCTTTGCGTCTGTTATTTTTCTTCCATGAGTCGGCCTATTACTCTGCTCCGTAGTGCAAAACATTCAGTGTTGTCGACAACAAGCTTCAGTTTTTTCTATCTCGGTCCTCCGATGTTGGCCATCAGCCAGCTAAGTTGGTAGTCTATTTTGGACGCCTTTTCCGCAGCGTGTTGGATTTGTGCCCAGTAGGTAAGCCTAGCATCTAATTTTACCCTAGGTAGTTGATAACCGGTTTTTGTCCTTATTACTATTATAGTAGGGATATGCTTCTTTGCTAGCAGTGTCAGCTCGGTTTTTTCAGTGGCAAGTTTAAGACCTTGCCAGGCCTAATTTGAGCTCTGATCATCATCTGGTTTAATTTCCTGCGCGCGTCTTCAGTGTATCTCGCAGTGATTATGGTGATGTCGTCTGCATAGCCAATATGTAAGTAACGTCGAGCATTTCGGAACTTAATATGCCTCTGTAACTGACGTTCCAGAGTCTGGGCGAAGATTGATCCCTGCGTAGCTCTTGTCGTGACCTTTAAGTCTCGTAGTCCCTCAGTGGTTTCGTACAGCAAAATTCTGTCTTCTTAGGATCTCACCATTAGGCTCAGATATGATGATATTTTAAAATTTTCATCTAATGCTTCAACCATGTTTTTCCATCGGATGATGTTGAAGACATTTCGTACGTCTAGGGTGGCGAGTCAAACAAGTCGTCTGATAGAAAAAAGGGGTGCGTCGTTGGGGGACTCCATCGGTCTTAATTTATGTGTAGGAAGTAAGACAATAACAATTTTATCCATTTTATGTGTGTTTTTTCATAACGACTCTGTGCCTTAGACCGCACGGGTTCATGTTCAAGTTTCGGAGCTCTTTTCATTTTTATTTTTTCCAGATTTCGATGGCCCGCTGTAGATTATTTATTCGCCGTGTGAAAATGATAAAGCACGTTATTCTTAGCTGCAGAATGTTTTCTGTCCATCAATATGCAGAGCGTTTTTGTCTCCTGATTTTGGTCCGCGGCATTTCTTTGTTGCATGCTGAGTGATTAGCCCCAGTGTCTTCTTTACGTTTGCTCTTTTTTGGGTGGTCATGCTTATTAACTGCTGATATTAGTGCATCGATATTAAGTTTAAATAGGTTCCATTTTCTAATAGTAGCCCTTCGTGGCCAAAGCTTAGCTGTAGCTTCAATGGTTTGGAGATATATAGATTAAACTTATTTGCGGGCCGAGAGCCGCCTACTTTTTAAAAGTTTTTCAAATTTAGATGCTCCTCCCTAAAGCAATGCGTTGTACTAAATAACAACCTTATATCTTATTGCTGAGCTCAGTTAAAGCACGTTATAGGTTTTCGATTAATGCCGTACTAACCCTCCTTGGGTCGGGGAACATGTGTACTCGTACTCTATCTCGATTAGTTTAAGGTGATAACATGTGTACTCGTACTCTATCTCTATTAGTTTTAGATGATATACACAACCGTTAGGTGAACATAATTATAATACTCTGTAGCAACATGTTGCAAGAGTATAAAAATTAATTAATAAATTCAAACAAAAGCATTTTTGTTCATAACTCAATAATTATCACTCTATTAATATTCACGTTTAAATTAAAAACAAACTTCATTTAAAATGTGCTTTTATTTAGTCTTGCAACTTATGCATATATACATACTTCTTTTTCATGTTAATTTATCCTTTTTAATGTAAAGCGGAAAAGCGGTATTTTCGAACTTGAGCAAAGTGCAACGTGTGTGATTTTTCGCAAAGAAAGTCATTCTTGGTATTTCACAATTTCTCGAAACTCCTACGAAAATGTGTGCTGTCTCTTTTTTAAGAAACACAAAATTTGCTTTTGGAAAAACCGTATACATTGACTGTCATTTTATTCTTCATTAGACTGTCAGTGCTGACAGCACCAAATAATTCAGCAATTTCATTCATACAAATGTAAAGCTATAGTGTAGCACTTGTAGCCGTCTCTTTTAAACAATCCCAGTGACGCCAATTGACAAGTAGTTAATTTGATCGTCACGACTGACGTAGCAAATGTGTGTGTTTTATTGAACCTATCAGTAGTTTCTTGTAGGGTCATAAGCTCTATGTGTAAGAAATTAATGAACGATGACACGAACACAAGAGTTTTGGTTATGTTCGTCAATTCGGCCTTGGGAAACTCGTAGAAACTTTAACAGAAATATCTAGTAGCGCCCTTGAGTAAGTCCACTGATTAACCTGATAATTAGCTGCACGAGAATATCGATGTTAAAAATACATAGTTGACTTATAGTAAAATTGTTCGGTAATACGCAAGGCCATTCACTTACAATCTGTTCAGTGTTAAATTAGAACTCGATCAAGGGCAAGGATAACATGATACAAATCTCTTTGAATCGAGAGAACGCTGTCAAAGTTCACGTTTTTTTTATAACATTTGACAGTAGTGCCACTAAGGAAAGAAATAAGTTTTGGGATTTTTTAAATGTATTTCTTGGGTATTTTTCGGTTACCATTTAACAGAAAAATATACATAATTAAAATTAGTTTAACAAGCTAGACATCCTATATGCGGTCTAAATATATGTACATGTTTATTTTAATAACAAATGATTTTCAAACTTAACTTTTAAAGCTCAATTAAACAAAATATTTTAATATTTCAAAACACTTACAAGTTTTAAATACCCTAAACATGAACATATATTATTTTTTATATACTCAATAAACAAATATCTTTTGATAATTTATTCGGAAGTCAAAGTTTACATAACATTTGCGGGGGATTCTAACCAAAATATGTATATACAAACGTTGACAATTGGTACTGCTAAGCAAAACAATACTCTGCGACAAAATACCCGCTTTTTCTTAAAAACAAAACTATATTAAATCTCTTTAAATAAAGATAAGAAATACACGTAAAAGTCACTAAGAAATCTGATCTGACAAATAAACCACTCATTTCACAATTTATTTCTGCGGGATTCTTAGTGGTAGTTCGTTGTTTTGCTTGTCACCTGTTGAGTAGCTCATGAACTTTCAGTGCTGCCCAAAAAACCACGAGATCATGAGCTCTTTCAGAAGGCAAAGAGAGGAGTTTCGGATCGTTTTATCCATGATCAAGGGTGGACTGAGCGAAAGTATTAGGCACGAAGCGTTGATACATCAGCAGACAGTATGTTAGAAAAGTATTTTGTAATTTGTATAAGGTAAGAGTTTTTTAAAAATAGCAGTAGAAGGTAAATAGAAAACACTTTTCAGTTATGTATTATTATAATTTTTTTTATTTAAAAGCTAGTTAGAAGAATTTAGAAAGAGGTAAGTCCCAGTGTAACCGAAAATTTTATAATCTCGCAATTTATGTACGTTAAAGGCAGAGAAATACTTCCAGATGTTGGCTAAATTTTTATTAAACACAAACAATACAAAACGAAGCTACAATCGAAGATATAATAGTCTTCACAAATGCAAAATATTCCATATAAGAATTGCTGCTTTGGGCAATAATACATGCCAAATTTGGTGAAAATATCTTGTCAAATATTAAAATATTCCATACAAGGACTGAATATTGATCGATCAGTTTAAATGGCAGTTATATGCTATAGTGGTCCGATATCGGTGGTACCGACAAATGAGCAGCTTCTTTGGGTGAAAAGGACGTGTGCAAAATTTCAGATCGATATCTTAAAAACCTAGGGACTAGTTCGCGTATATACAAACAGACGGATTAACAGACAGACAGACGGGCATGGCTAAATCGACTCAGCTCATGCTGATAATTTATTTTGTATATACTTGATAGGCTCTCCGCCACTTCCTTCTGGGTGTTACAAACTTCATGGCAAAATTTAATAAACCCTGTTCAAGGTATAAAATGTTGCTTAAGAATGATTCGCCGAAACTGTGAATTGATTATAATAATATTTGGTATCTTATTAATTTTTGCTTTGTGTTTGCGATATTTATATTAAAATCAATGTAATTAACTCAGATGAAATATATAGATGCGATATAAGCTCAACCGAATTTGTTATATCGTTTAAACGGATAAACAATTGCCTGGATTTCAACTCGCTATCATGATCATTTATGTAGTATCTATACTAATATTATTAATGTATATGAGTATATTTGTTACGCTTTCACACCGAAACCATGTAACCGATCATCACGAAACTTTATACACAATTGTTTTATGGACATATGTATTAGAAAGGACATAAGATATTTATTATTAAAAAAATATAAATTTTATAGGACAAAGAGATATTGTAGGGCTACAAAGCTTTTTTTTTGTAACCGCGTAAATATCGTAAAAGCGAAAAGTTTAAGCGAAGTTGCAGCAACGATAAAATACAAGGGCCGAGTATTGACGCTATGTGTGTTCAGCTATTAGAGTAACTTTATTTGCAAAATTCTTTTCCTTAAATAATATTCTAAGCAATATTTCAATACATAGTTTCCGCTAATTACATAATTTCGTTTTGTATTAGTGCATATATACAATACATAAGGATGTAGGTTACATAAATTTAACAGTTCATAAAAGGAGAATAACCCAAATACATACTTTACGCTATTACTCTTTCGTATATAATGTAAAAAATGGGAATTCAACTTTGCAAGAGGCTGCTTACATATTAAGCTTAGTACATGTTAAATGGGACTAGCTAATGTGCACAAACAAATATTCATATAGTTGCGTGGACGAAAACATAGCGGTAGCATAATCGTACAAAGCAAACGCAATTAAGCAAATATGTACATATATACACAATGCAAATACAATTATTAACTGCATTGAGTTGAATGACTTCTAATGTTTGCCCTTGAATATTAGACAAATAAATAGAAAACAAGAAACAGAAAAAAATATGTAAGAACATATGACCGTATAATACAGTGGTTATCAATCGGTGACCCAACATCCCGGCCCCGTTGAAAGGCATTTCAAACAGGTAGAAATGCTAGCTTGTGAATTGGTCGCCGAATTATTCCCGACATTGTTCGAAAGTCCACCACACGTACTTAAAAGTTCTTTCCTGGAATACAGTTTATAACTCTTCCAATGTCCCAGTTTTGTGG